TGTACCGAAGACCGGGAGAGCGCTATAACCAAGCTTGTATAGAAGAAAAAGTACCATATGGCGGTGGCTCTATACACGTGTGGGCTGGGATTTCTTCCGAAAGCCGTACTGAGCTAGTAGTGATAGAAAATGGCAGTTTAACAGCAGAACGATATGTGAATGAAATTCTTAATGACTATGTTGGTCCATTTTTAGTAGATATGGGCGAAAATGCTGTTTTTATGCAAGACAACGCCCGCCCGCATACAGCTCAGATAGTGTTCGACTATTTTCACGAAGTAGGTATCACATGCATGGAGTGGCCAGCACGAAGCCCCGACTCAAACCCCATCGAACATGCATGGGATGAACTGGGACGACGTGTACGTCAACGGAATCCGCCGCCAATCACGCTGCGTGAATTGAAAGGAGCTTTGATCGAGGAATGGCAGAACATTCCGCAGCATCGCCTTAAAAACCTTGTGGAAGGTATGCCGAATCGCATAGCCGCAGTTTTGCAAGCTCGTGGAGGCAACACGAAATACTAACATGCGTAAAAACGTCACATCTTTATACAATTCATATTTACGAAAATGTCAGAAAAACTACCTTTTTCATTCGTTTGACATTTATTGAAAATAGACAACTTTTAATTTGTATTTTTTTATATTCAATAAATTACAATTAAATAATCTTTAATTTAGTTTTTATTTCATAAAAATAAGTTAAGTAGTTTTCAAGATATTGACGATTTTGTAACCGACCCGTTTTCTTTGCGGTCCAGTGTATTTATGTATGAGCTCGTGTGTATGTATGTATGTTTATATATGAAAACATGATTTCTCGCCATGTAAGACACCATCTACTAGCCCATCTACTTAAGTAATAGTCCAGTCTAACCTGCGGTTGTCTGGAAGAAATTGCTTTTTAGCGATAAGGCCGCCGATTGTACTACTAAATTGTATCGATTCTCCTTTTTGTTTAATTATGGTGTACAATAAAAGTATTCATTCATGCATTCGTTCATTAACTTTTTTTTTTTCAATCAATATAATGAAAACGGCGAAATGGAATAGTGCTGAGGAATAGTGTTACCAACGATATTAATGTCTACATACTTACCCAATTATTATAATAATCATTGTTTACTACACAAGATTATAACAATGTATTGGTTTTTTTTATCAAAATCTATATGTTGAATGCATATTCATTCAATAGGGATGACAAATATTTTCTTAGTTTGTCCGTCTGGTAGATTATTTAGCAATATTAAATACGTATTTTTTTATTTTTTGCGCCATCCACAAATTACGGCGATACATTAAATTGAAATGTCACATGACACCACGCTTTTGTACATATTCTAGAAAACTGTGACGTGGCGAGCCCCCACTCCTTAACTATAATATCTATTATCTAGCGTATCTTATATTTTTCTATTATCTTACTAACGGACTAAATAGAACTTTTTTTTCCTCTATCAGCGACGCGCTTTGAAAATTTCAAAACAATAACTTCGCACATGCACATTACGAGTAGATATTTTTTAATTATAATACAGAAAAGTTATTGTGTAAAAAAGTAGTAATATGTATAATGCTTATGATAGAATGAGATAGATATAAAATACTATTCATAATGTAGGTTGGTGATCACGAGAAAATGGAGAATTTTTTTTTTTAAGTTATTTTATATCAAAAAAAAGTTTTTTAAAAACAAGCTTTTATTCAACTAAATTTACGTTTTAACGTAAATAATAATAATATGCATGACAAGTTCATAACGTTAATGTGAAAGTAGTTACTTATAATCAAAATTTTCTCTGACAGTAATTGACTTACCTACAAACTTGTAGCGCGAAAAAAATATGCGTATTTACTCGTCTCAGATTTCATTAGCGGTATAAGCTTTTCAAGTCAATTGCTCATAGATTTTTTTTTTATTATAAATAGTTTAATATTAACATTATGATCTTGTCTTGCATAAAATTATTATTTACACAAAACGTTAATTTAGCCAAATAAATTGTTTTTGAAAAATATTTTCTATTATATTTTTATTTTTTTACTTTTTAGTTTTGTCTCATTCTATTAATTTCTGATATTATATAGCATCTCAATGCAAGGTGTTTTTCTTAATAATTTTACATAATATGTTCATGTTCTCATACAGACGGATCGAAAGAGTCCCAACACGATGCAGTTGCGTTTTTTATTGTTGAGTTCCCTATGATCACCTTCCAACTCCATAATCACCAGACCTTGGTCTGCGAAGCGTCCAGTACCAAAGTCTTCATAAAACCGGATCTAACGAGCCCGAACACAATACAGTAGAGTCATTTCATCACTAAGTTCCTATGACCAACTTCCGATCATGATCATCATATCAGCTTACTGACACCATAATATTTATTACATTGTCATCTGACTTACATGTCGATGCAAAATTTCAAATCTATCGGACATTGAAAAAAGGGTCAAATTTGTGTTCCAAGATTTGCGCACTAACTAACAAGGTAAGTTAAATATAAGCTATTGTGAAATGGTATAAAAACTATGAATTAAATGAATTACCTATGTATGTTTACGTTTATATAGTAATGAATTAGTATTTTATCTATATTTTTATTATTAAAGACTATAATAAATATGAATAATAACATTTACAATTCTAAACAAAATATAACTTATCGATTTCTTATATTGTCACGTGCACTATCCATAAATGAAACAACTTTTAAAAGATTTCATCGCGTTTGTATTTCATTTTATTGTTACTATAGCTACCTTCAAAAAAATACTGTTGGACACATTCACAATACAATTTAGTTAATATTTTATGGAAACGTTTACATTTATTAAATTTAATTATATTAAAAATACATTTGACTTATTTATTTACCCCTGGCTACCGTGAACTACCACCAGTTCCAAATTTGGAAGTCCCGTATAAGAAGAACTGGTGAAACAATCTATGTCAACAAAAGTGAATTACTACCCTTTGATATTTATTTTATATTTACAGAATGGACTAACTGAACGTTTGGTTTTGCAAATGTTTGGCTCTATTAAAATCCGAATGTTTTTTTTTATTTCGATAGCCTCGCGTATCATTCTAGGAATGAATCTTTGTTCAGCCGAACGAATTTATGGATTGTCAAATCTTATGTAATGCTTGGGTCCTCCTAACGCATTTTCACACACTTTATTTACGCACCTATGCTTAACGTCAGCTACATGTTCCCTAACGCGAGTTCCTATGCTCCTCTTTGTCTGCCAGATGTTTGGTTTGAGAGCCCACATTTGCAGTCTAGTTTACACCTGCAACTTGAAAGCGAGCGACTTGAGAAAGTTTTGTCTACACTCAAATCTTGTACTCTGCCCAAATATCACTTTTTTTCAGGTGTCCCCATTAAATTTCTTGTGTACGATATCTCATTCTCGACCTGAAAAAAGTGTCATTTTAAGTACACAAAGCGTTTCTAGAGTTTTTCATGCTACGCATGCAAGTAACTAGATACATTGGTTTAATCTTTTCTTGTATTAGTATCCAAATTGTAAAATAGGACCGGGATATTACTAAGACTTCGCTCTTCGTCTGTTTGTCTGTCTGTCTGTCACCAGGCAGAACCGTGATAAATAGACAGTTAAAATTTTCGCAAATATTTTTTTTTTTTTTTAGTTAATGGTATTCTCTATCCTTTTTTCCTACTATCACTTGTTTTTATCCTTAACCACTAGGTTTCCTTATCAGTTCGGTACTTTGTCTAGAACGAACTAATGAATATATTACTTTTACCGGGAATCTTTGTTTACATGAAAACGCCTGGTAGAAATAAAGGGCAAATACTTATTTATAATACGATAATACTCTGTCTGACTCAAAATCATGTTCTGATAATGTAAAGACTGTTTTGTTTGTGCAATATCTATTATTTAAGGCTAGCTTTCCATCCCTCCCCTAAACGAATACGCATCGAGAGTAAAAACGCACTCGTGCGTCTTCTTCCCAAGAAAAATGGCGTGAATCAGCCGCAACTAACTAACAAACCGTTTAACTCAAGGTAGCAGGTACACCAACGAATTTGAAAGTTTATTGATTAAATATGTAGTGACAAATAGTGATACATATCATATTTAAATGCACAACATTTATGAGAAATATCTCGAATTTCCTCGCAAGCATCCATGAACATGTTGTGAGAAAAAAAAATAGTTTTAAAGAGTAATAAATATATACTTATATATATATAATCTTTGAGTTTATATGTATCATGAGAATCATAATTTCAGTTTCTTATTTTTTCTTTTTTTATTCTTACCCGTTTGTTTGGAATTGCTGTTGCTTTAAGCGTCAAGTTAGCAGGCACACTAAGAATCAGAAATATCACGAATTATATTGGAGTGAAATGAAACTCACTAATTTTTTGTAATTTTATTACATGAAATTCTAATACGAATCGTATTTCTATTGTGCTTGCTATCTAGACATCCAGCAAACAGGCACACTAATGAAATTCATATATAAGATTTTATATTTTTTAATCAGCGCCATCAGTCTGCTACGATATTGGATTCTATATAGACTTCGAAATATGAAAAAAAAAAGTCTAAATTCATTATTTTGAAGAACAATAATGACAGATGTCTCAAACCGGAAGTTGAATTTCCGAATAAATACACTTCTGTATTTAGCAAACCATCGATCATTTGTTCAATTTCCAAAAAAAATATTTTTATTTGCCAAATTTTGGCATTATTAACCTTATGCCTCAAATATCTCCCCTAATCTGAGGAGCGAAGTCAAATTGAGGTCGATTGTGATCACTCATCATACAATTTCTCACAATACCTATACATGCAACTAGTGACAATCAAAATATTCCTAAACGAATATAATATTTGCCATATAAAAAAAGGAGAAATGATATACGTGACTGTCTTATATTATATAATGGCAACTCTGTAAGAAATGCTTTATTGTGATTGGCTATTAAATGAAACCGTTCAAATTCGTAGCAACAGTCGTCAAACTTCAAGTTCAATTCAAACGTATGGCCGTTTGAAATTACCTTTGTGAAACATTGTCAACAATCACCAATAGTGTATTATTATTCGTAACATTTTAATTGACTGTAATTTATATTTTTAAGCTAGTTTAAAATGACTTCAATCAAAGAAGATGAAAAGAAAGAAATTCCTGAAATCATACACGATCCCCAAACAAGCTGTTCGTATCAAAGGTTACGATTTTTTGGGAAGGTGAGTGCAGTAAATTTGTTTTATTTCATTATGTTTTTATACTAATTGATAATACGTTTCTTTACAATAAATAAATTTACACCAAACATTCTAATGTCGTGCCTAAAAACATCATTTCCATAGTAAAATCAAAACGTGTAACCGTTTTTTATTGTTTGAATTATCAAAATCTAATGACTTGTAATTAACTATTTATTGTGTAAACTTGATGCTTAAACCTTAAAAGAATAGTCGATGAAACTGCAAAGTTGATATATCTATAAATATTACAGGGTGGTTTTGCAAAATGCTACGAAATCCAAGATCTATCCAACCATCAAGTGTATGCTGGCAAAATTGTGTCAAAAAAACTCATGGTGAAGACAAGCCAAAAAGAAAAGATGGCTCAAGAGATTTCTATACATAGATCTTTACAACACAAACATGTAGTTGGCTTTCACAGTTTCTTTGAAGATTCCCTAAACATTTACATCATATTAGAGCTCTGTAAAAGACGAGTAAGTTTCGACTGATATATTTTCATTATAAAATTCACAAAAATTGTCTATGCATTAAATAGTTATATGAAAACTTCAAACTGGAAAAATAAATATATACTAACATGTACTCATATATTATTTAACTCATTTTATAATAGTTTCAATGTTTAGTTTCAAAGTGATAAAATATTTTACTTTATCCTCTTAGTCAATGATGGAGTTACATAAACGAAGGAAAGCTATAACGGAGCCAGAGACTCGGTTCTACATGCACCAGATTCTCTTAGGTGTGCAGTATCTGCATAGCAAACGCATCATACATCGAGATCTCAAACTGGGCAATTTGTTCCTGGATGACGACCTCCATGTCAAGATTGGAGACTTCGGTTTAGCAGCCAGAATTGAATATGAAGGTAGATGATGTTGAAATAGTTTAGATAATTGATATATTTGATAAATTTTGCATTCACCGAGTGCTATATAATATTTACGCTATCTTATGTGACAGATAATGCTTGAACCTGTAACTTTTTGTAATTCATGGGATTATTTTACAATACATTCAATTCTAACAACCTATTTTCATAGATAATTTGTAGAGTTCTGTACCCAAAGGGTAAAAACGGGACCTTATTACTGAGACTCCACTGTCCATCTATCACCAGGTTGTATCTCATGAATCATGAAAGTCGGTCAGTTGAGATTTTCACAAATGATGTATTTCTATAACTGCTATAACAACACTACACAACTATAAAACAGGATAATACCTCCCCTAAAACAAACATGATTTGTGCATGAAGCATACTCTGACTTGACCTGTTTTTTTTGTTATTATAATTTGAATATCTTGTATTATTTAAACAAATACACATACATACATTATGAAAACTTAATTATTCTATTAAAGGAGAGAGAAAGCAGACTCTATGCGGCACACCAAACTACATTGCTCCAGAGATATTGACGAAGAAGGGTCATTCCTTCGAAGTGGACATCTGGAGCTTAGGCTGCATCATGTACACTCTGCTTGTAGGGAAACCACCCTTCGAGACCTCTACCCTCAAAGATACCTATAAGAGGATCAAACAGTGTGAATATAGGTAAAAATATTGCATTTTTTTCTAGGAACCGAATATATATTCCTTATTTTTATGATAGATGTCTGAAAATTAACAAATTCGTTCACAATTTTGTTTGTTAATTCACTTACATATTATACAGCATTCTTGGAAATTGTTATGTAAATTATCCTTTTTTGATTCAAACCTGCATGTGGAATATTTGACACTTTCAACACAATCTACAATCTAGCAGTTAAATCCAAATAAATATAAATTTGTATTTATGTACTACTTGTGTGGAATCCCTTAACAGTTGTATGGGTTATTATTACTGACTATATTTTATTGTTTTATTGTATAGCGAAGGTGTGGAATTAGCGCTGCTTGCATGTTCCACTGGCCCTTGGCATAAAGTCGGCACTCGGTTTGCGCAGGCTTTAACCAACTATAACACAGTCAACCAACTATACAGGTTAACTTGACGATGTCGTGTTACGGTGTCGGTCTGTTTGACATGTAACAATGCTTTCTGTGTTTTCCTCAATGCATCATACTTGTGTAAACGTAGTATGTGAATATTCAATACTAATCACATACAGTTCTAGAGGTCATTAACAATAAAAAGCCATAAATTATTGAATGAATGAACATTTTATTGTACACCACAAAGAAAACATGAATAAAAGCAAATATTTACAGTACAATCGGCGGCCTTATCGCTAAAAAGCGATTTCTTCCAGGCAACCATACGTTGGACTGGATTTATTGAAATGATTATTATGTTACATAATCCTAGAACTAAGCGTCTAATTATAATATTTCATCAAATTTGCATTCACAATGCTATACTGGAAAATATTCTTCAATATTCCATCTCAAAATTTTATTGTTCCCAAAGGGACAAAGTGGGTTTTCAATAAGTGTCTAATTTTTGGGTTGTGATTTGAGAACTATTTAAACGATATTTCTGTGACATTTTAAGTAAAGGGAATGGTATGCCCATTCAAAATATAACCCAGAATGTGGGATTTATATCAAAACTTTGTTTTTTCCTTGGTGACCCACCAAATACCTAGTTGATCATCTTATCCAAATCAGATTGGATTAACACATAATACCTTTTAAAAAAGTTATGTACTCAAATAATTAAAGTTGTAGATTGTTCTTACTATTAAATGTGAAAAACTCTATTAGAATTTTCGGGAATCTACATCTAAACATTGTAATAATCACTATTATTACATTTGATCAATTTTGAATTCATAAGGCTATGCTAGAAAATATTCTTAATGAAAACTACTTTAAAAATCCATCTCAGAGTATCAAGGATAAAAATAAATACATTTTTTTTCCGTTTAATATACTATTATGGTGTTAAAACACCCAATCCGCAATGATTGTGTGTTAGTTTAAAAATGGGTCATAAATATGATCTATGTGATCCTATTGATAAGGTTAGCCTTAGCCCCAGGATATTAATAGGATGATGATAACTGCGCAGGATTCCGTCGTCGCTGCGCAAACCGGCCGCTTCGATGATAGTACTCCAGCTGCAGTCGAACCCGGCCCGGCGGCCGTCAGTGGACAAGCTCTTGCAGCACGAGTTCTTCTCGTCCGGCATCTTGCCAGCGGCACTGCCCGCCTCCTGCCTCACTACCGCCCCGCGTACCGATCAGCTCGAGGGCATGTCTGTACATCGCCGGCCGCTCAATGAAGTTAACTCTAACGGTACGTAATGATAGAAATTTTTAGTGATTATTTTTTTTGCAGCATTGTGAAAATGATAAAAATTGAATTTGTTGACGTTGTGATTTATGGACAGATTTTGATGTTCACTTTTGTTGGTGGGTTTATTGCAAAGTCCCATTGAAATTTGGGATCTGAAGGACGTATATTGACAGCTAAGCTGTACCTAATAGATTTTTTGTCTTCTGTAATTGATAGAGCTTGACTGTGATGAGATCTAAATAAAAAAATAAAGATTTTCATAGTCTAGCGTGCAACTATTTGAAATACAACTGTCATTTTAACTGTGAACATTTAAGAAAGTCGCAAAATTCAATCTAGTTTTAGCGAGATCACACTTAATCTATGACCAACAGCTATTTTGTATATTAAAAATATCATAAAACACAAGCTTTCCACGGAATCAACAAATGAAAAGGTGTAAGCATTTTGCCTAATTATTTACCAAAACACTCCAGTTAAATTTATTGCGACCTATTTCTCATAGCTAAAAAAGTTTTGAAGAAAAGAATTATTGTTGACAAGATTTGTATTAAAGTTCCAATAGGAATAGATTTTTGAATTTCCTTTAAAAATAGACTGTCGGCAATGGCCAGTATTGCGCTCAATAAATAAATAACTAAAGACAACATCACATGCATTGCTAAGATAGCTTAAGCACTTGTATTATAGTGTATCTGAGACAACGACTGTATCACAACTCTCAATTCTGTGACATTAAAGAAAAATTAATTTTCTTCATTCAACCAGCCGGGAATCGAACCCGGTGCCTCAGAGAATGGGACTCTTCGAAAGCGGCGGGCGAGCTACTGCAACGAAGGACGCCGAAGTAAAAACACAAAGTGTCAAATCTTTGCGTTTTTACTTGGTGAACTAAATATTTTCAATTTTCAATAATATATATGAAACAACTTTTAAACGGTTTCATCGCACTTTGTATTTAGTTTTATTGACGTTTCGTTCACGTAAGACGCAAGAATTTAATTTATTTGACTTATTAATTAACCCCTAGCTACCGTAATCTACCGCCAATGGGAGTCTATCTGAGAAGAAGTCCTTTGATTTAATATTTATAGAACGAACTAACTGTATCTTTTGGTTTTGCAACGTGTGATCTGGATTGAGATTTTATTTGACTAATTACTGAATCCCAGGCAAGTGGTATATGCCAACCTTCATCTCTATGGATAGTGCGCGTGAATATATAAGAAATCAATATTGACAATAACATTTTATTCTCGTGATAGAGCATGCAATGGCGGTGGACTCGCCAGTGAAACGTGACCGGGCGGGGGCAGAGCCTCGTGCCGTGGAGCCAACATCACACCGCCAGAACCTCATCGCACTACGAGACCAACTGGCCGCCTTACTTTCCAGCAAGGTATTTATTTATGAAACAAATGTAGGGTGCTAATTTCAAAATCTATCACAATACCTTCAAAGCTATGGTTATAACAATTTATTAAATTATGCAGCTTTATAGACTCGATCTCTTTTGGAATGTATGATGATTTCAATGATCAAGAAATATAATAGAAACTTGCCTAAACCCATGGAAAGATTGCAAGTTAGTATCAGTTAGTACCCTCCAATCCACATTGGGCCAGTGTGGAGGGTCATGGCCTATCCTCCTTAACCATCCATAAGGAAGGCCTGAGCCTCTGCAGTGGGGACTTAAAAGGGATGATGATGATGATGATGATGATGATGATCACCACTTAGTAAATCTTGCTTCAGCAAGAACTGTCATCATTATTTTGCATTATACAGGTTAGATTTTGACTGCACGGTTGGTCGAATGGTTTAGTTGTCGCCATGCAACTGCCCACGGATCGAGTGTTGTGGTTCGATCCTCACAAAAGGCAATTTTTCGTGTGATTTACAAATAATTGTTCTTACTCTGATTGTACTTTGAACCCCGCAACACAGGGCTTGTGACTCCTAAAAAAGTGAGCTTCTCATTTAAAAAACAAAAAATGGTTAGAAATAAAAAAAATTGAACTACTGAAGATCCATGAATAAAACTTTCTTTTAATTGTCAAAGCATATTTTCGTTTAATGCTTGCCTTAGATAATAGGAATGATGACTGCGTAAAAAAAATGCAATTCTATTTAGTCCGTCAGTCAGATAATAGAAAAATATTAGATACGTATTTTTTTTTACTTCAATTTAACAAGAAATAGCTTAGATAACAGGCATTAAAGTTGAGGAGTGGGGGCTCGCTACGTCACAGTTCAGTAGAAAACGTACCATAACGTGACGTCATGCGAAATTTCAACTCCATGTAACGCCTAATTTTATGATTACGAAAAAAATTAAAAAATACGTGTTTAATATTTTTTAACACTCTACCTGACGGACAAACAAACAAAAATTAGTCATCATCCCTATTCCAATATGATATCGTTCATATAGAGTGTGAAGTAAATATCTTCCATATTAAAAGGGGTTGTGGTGATTGATTTTGAAATTGAACGATTAGCCCCTCAAATTCTACAATCGCCTTCATATCTTTTTATTTGTATATTTCATACTTTTAAATGACCAAGTGTGGAGCCCTTCAAATTTTAATTAAAAGATCACGAGATCGCTTATCACAGCGCGTTCTGCGCCCGCGCGCCGGATAGACCATTTACACCACTGGGTGGGCGTGGCTTCCACTGGTCAATGAGCTTACCGATAAATGATCAAATGTAGGCGCTGTGATTGGTCGTTCGATCTGTACAATATAGTATCTTTTGCAAAGGACAACTTTAAGATATCAGATTTTCATAAATGTTATTATTTAAAGCTCTTTCGTAACAAGTTAAGACGTTAGTCCCGGATGTGTCTGTAATCATAAACATATCCCATATATCTGCAAGGTGGTCTGTGTAGCCTGTGCTATCTGTGATTCTATCACAAAAAAGCACTAGTCCTTGTTTGTCTGATAATTAGTTAAAACTATTGAGAAAACTTAACGTTTAATAATGTTATAGTATTGAAACGAAGCTTAATGATTTTTGTTACTAGTTGAAGTGTCGCCCTGAATGCCTGACGGACGAACTGGGCGATCCAGCGGCGCAGCCTCTCGTGTGGGTCAGCAAGTGGGTAGACTACAGCGACAAATACGGCTTCGGCTATCAACTGTGCGACGAAAGTGTCGGCGTCATGTTCAACGACACTACCAAATTAATCATGCTCGCGAACGGAGTGTGAGTATCTTGTTTTATTAGTATTCCTCTCACTGGTTCTAGTTTGAACGTGGTTTTCTAACCCCTGTTTAAGTCCTATACACCGAGTTGCACAAAAATCCATTAAGATTTAATGGTGATTTTAAGCTGTAAGTTCAATAATATAAATTCAAATTCAATAAATAAAAAAATTATTTAATATGGCGTTTGTGCAGCTTGGTATTATATTTATATAACTATTAGTGCACTAAATTTAAACTCGTCTTATACAATAAATAAAGCTGTACATTAATAGATCAGTTGGCCAGCCACCTTTGTTTTTAAGAAGATTAATGTTGTAAATTGCACTACTGTCTATAAACTGTCTTAAGTATAATTTATGGTTTAAAATATGCTTAATATTTTGTTTCTAGAAATGTGCATTACATAAACAGACAAGGTCAAGAACAATATATGACAATGCGGGGATATCCACAAGAGCTTGACAAGAAGATGAAACTCCTCACATACTTTAGGAGATATATGACTGAACATCTTATGAAAGCTGGTAAATATATGTAGTGTACTTAACATTATAAGGAATATAAAACTCATAAGTTGCAATTGTACTCACTTATGTTGAAATAGCTGGTTTCCGGCGACTTCACCTGCAAATTATAGCCTATGTAGTAGTGATGTAGTTTCCCGCAGGTGACAAAAGTATTCAAATCGGTTCAGTATTTTCAGTGATTATTTAATTCACACAGAAAACATAAAACAAAGTTTCGACTAACTGCCATGTTAAGGTAAAATATTTTGTTTTACGGTGTCCAATGTTATTTTACAGGTGCGTCAGTGCCCGTCCGAGAAAGTGATGGTCTATCACGATTGCCGCATTTACACCAGTGGTTTAGAACAACACTTGCGGTCATAATGTATTTAACAAATGGAACTTTACAGGTAAATTGAGTTCACAAAATACAATTTAAGCAATAAATTAAAAGTTTTTAATGTTCTTCATAAGCACACCTAGATCTAAACTGAGACAACTCAAAAATTGGAGTGAGTTTTGACTTAGTACAATATTCAAATGCTCGGTGATCATACGCATCTATCCAACATAACAGATTCAATAAAAAGTTCAGGGAAGAGCCGCAAGATAATAGCCGCAAGATTTGTTGAATCAACAGTGGTCGCGCTCCTGCCATGTAAACAAATGTATTGTCAGACCCCCAAATTAGTTTTTTGAGTTATCTTAGTTTAGATCTAGGTGTGCAATATAATAAACTATATTTCATAGACATTCATTCAATTTTGTCCACAGATAAACTTCCAAGACCATACCAAAATAATACTCTGCCCTCTTATGCAAGCGGTCACGTACATTGATGTGGAGAAGAACTTCAGAACATTCCGCTTTAGCACAATCGAGGAGCACGGCTGTGATAAGAAACTTTACACAAATCTCACATATGCTTTAGAAAAACTCAACAGTGTATTAGCCAGTAAGCTTTGCTAGCCTACCGATAATTTATAGCGGCGGAAATTAAACAATATTCGAAAAATGAATTCGATTTGCTCGAGCTCAGAGCAAACTCTCATGAGAGTTGAAAACTAGTGTTGTAGGTTAGTACATTTTCCAGAACTAGCAATACGGCTTACCCTGGACTAATAGTTTATTACGAACTTTTATGATTTTTGTTAAAATTTTGTCACTAAAATCAATTTCGATAGGTATCATATTTTTATTTACGTATTCTACTCGTTGATTTTAGATTATCCACCGATATATTTATTCTTACAAGTTGTTCACACATTACATTGGAACATTTTAATCACAAACTTTATTAACTAGTGAAACTGCAAAGTATCTATAAAACTCTGTCAAAGAAACCCAAAAATATTATTAGACCAGTTTCAGACTACTTTTGATTCATAATAATGGCATTTCACTTGTGCCTTGCCTTACGTTAGAATAGGTTAAATTTTAGTTGTGTACTTTGTTTTCCTCACTGTAATGTAAAATGAGAGCACCATGACTGAGGGGTGGGGTGCGGGCAGTTTGATGATTTGGAGTGGTTTATTTAGTTTTATAACTATATTTTTATAAAACTTGTTTCTGTGCTTCAGTAACACCGGACATATATTAACTCTTTGACAAAAATTGATTCCCTTTTTAAGCAATGTCAGAAAAAGAATTTGACCAAATAAAAATCAACATTCTCCACAGATTATATGTATTTTAGAGAACACATTTGTTGGATATGTATTCTGAAACGTCAGTATTACAAAATTGGATGGTGTTGAAGCACTTGCTATTTCTAAACTGGAAGTTTCTCGAGAGGTCTGTTACCTCTAGTAACATAATGAACATTGACAATAAAATTTTTATGAAAAATAAATATTTTTTTATTGTAAAACATATAATCATCAAGTATTTACAAAATAATTATATTGTGAACAGAATGGGTGCCGAATATATGTTGTTTGTACATTTTTAGGTATATTTTCTAACAAATTAGTACTACCAATCATGACTGAAAAACAAAACATTAAAAACTCATAAGTCAACCAACCAGTGCTCATTATTAGTTTATTAACATTGCATGTCTGTATATTTACATACAGGCAAATATGAAAGGAACTTATAACTCTTCTATCTCTAAGAAACTAATATCTTTATATATAGGAATACTTGATAATAATTTTACTAGGAATTAGGGCGCGTTCACATATAACGTCCGTTTAAACGTGTATGTTATTAGCGTTGTAGTTGTATGAGCGAGTTAACACATAATACAGTATTCCGGATCCAGTAGAAAATACTGATCCGAAAAAATAAGCAGCAATCCGTTTTCAGGTCCGTTTAAAGATATGTGTTATTAGCGTGTGTAGTTGTATGAGCCAGTTCACACATAATACAGTATTTCGGTTGTCCGTTAATCGGATCGAACCGCACGAGGCTTGGCACGGGGCGTGGGGAGCTGCACACAGCCGCCATAATCGATGTATCCAAAAACCCCGGGGCTTCCTCCGACGCAGACGAGGATAGTACCAATACAACACGACAACGTCCATCCTCGTAGAAAGTAGGCGAACACTGAAGAACGAAAGTGCAGTAGCGTTAATGCTTTGTGAATACTATCTCCACTAGCGACGGATTATAAAGGATCCTGTAAAATCGGACATTATATGTGAACGCGGCCTTATTATAATCTGTTTCTAGGGCTTTACGAAAAAGAACGGATATCAGTATCCGTAAATCTTTTCAAATTAGTGCTATTTACGTTTTGTTGTGCGGAACAAGAGGTCTCTAACCCCACCCCATACTATTGTAACGCACGGAAACTATAAATATCGTTTCACTTACTTTCAAAGCTCGCATAAGACTGCGTCGTCATCCGTTTTTTCGCTGGCCTTAGGCACAGACTATTATGTAATCATCAAATATATATCATAAAGTAATCGCTATAAACTCTTATCGGCATTCTTTTCCAATCAACTATTGAAGGTTATTCAAACAGTTAAAAAATAAATAAATTCATAGACATAGGCTATGATGAGAAGAATGTCTTTCTAAAATCTCTTAATGAAATAAAAGTAATTAAAGCATATATTGCAAATATACGCGCGCACGGGGGGAGGGCATGTAAGGGCGCAACATCAACCGTCTGCCCCGGTTAGAAAAAGTTGTAGATCCTGACCTGACATTCGCGATCCAATGCGTAAGCTATGGATATCGGCACAGTGCCCCTAACGGTAACTATCAACATTTACAAAATTTCATACAGATTTTTGAACGCATTCGTCATTAGATAGTGACCATAGAAAAAATAATTATCATAGGCTCATCATGACACTCACCAAAATTATTTCAGTTTTATGGGGCTAATAACAGCTTTATTTATGAAAAGAATATTATTCATAAATTTAGCTAGAAGTACCTATTGTGATCTAAGCAAGATTTATTTTTACACAGCCCTACGATTTTGTAAAAATCCAAACCCGTATTCAAATTCATTCAAGAGTCCAAATTCACTTCAAAAAGCGGCATCGGCTCAGCGTCTTCTTAACTTTAATAGCACTTTAAGTCACCACAATACTGCCAACTTTACGTAGGAGACCATTACACGATTTAAATACATTCATTCAACCAAACAATTTTAAATTACCCTATCTTTCTACATGGATTTACCAAAAACAACACGTTAAACGTTTTTAATAGGTTATTTAAAGAATTATTTTATATAAACAATCATTTAATTATAATCATGAATTGGTAATACCGTTTTGTGGCATAAGTGAAGTGAGTTTCGAAATGACTTGGAATAGAATATCTGAGACACGTATACTCAAACAATTTTGTTTTGTATTTAAAAAAAAATGGAATCATTACAATTTCTACTCTAAATTACGTGAATTCAGACACAAGAGTGAATTCGAATTTGGGTCTGGATTTTTACAGAATTGCAGGGCCGTTTTAAACAAACAAAGACATTGTTAAAATTTATTTCAACCAAAATCTCAAACTAAATGTGACCTAAATGTTAATTGTTTCCGTCAATTTTTATTTTAAATAATATCCCTATTAATCTTAAAATAATCATAATTTTTAGTCTTACTAAAAGAAGTTAACAATTTACCTCATTTAATATAATTTTAAGTGACATATAACCATTCTAGACAAGTAATTTCTTAGAACCAAACAGTGATGTCAGTGAGTCACATCTTGCACTATAGTGATACAGTAAAAAAAGAAGTAAATAGGTAATTGAGCAGAAGTAAATAGGCATATTTCATAAATTACTAAATCTATCAATACCTATAGCATAATTAAATTGGTTATCACACTGTTGCCTATAAACTAGACTATTATAATTCAGAATGTATAGCGTGCTGTTGGTGGGGCAATGGGTCACTAGGGTGCACAAAAAGACCTTCTTTGGCTTGCCAGTCTGTATATGCTCCATATTGGGAGCTAACACCCACAATCTCTCCTTGGCCACTGATTGGACGTCCAAAAGTCCTTCCTGATCCAGCTAAGAATCTGAAAAAATAATGAAGGCATCTTTACTGCTTTATACATAAATGAGTTTTTTTTTACACCACTGTGTGATTATAATCTATCTGACAGGGTTGTGCACTGCTTCAATGATTATTGCAGACCTAGCTTTCGCTAGCGGCTTCGCCCACATGGTCGCTAGGGAAATGTTTAGTGGGAACAATAGTATCCTATTATCTAAGTCAGCTAATACCCTATATGTATACAAAATTTCATCAAAATTGTTCAGTAGTTTCAGCATGATTGATGGACAAAATTCAAAACAAAGAAACTTTCACATTTATTATATTATAGGATATTAATAACATATTTTTTTATAATCAATAGTTTTTGCATAATTATTAAACACAGTGGTACAATGACTTGAAATGGCACATGACTTCACACCTTTGCACATTTTCTATATAGTTCACACTGAATTATTTTTCTATAATAATTCTGATTCTGCACATATTAATACATTTACATTAATTATTTTAATATCTTTAATGTACTATAATGCTTAGTTTTTTTCTATATAAAATGCCTGAATTAAATCAGCAGTTGTCACTTTGAAAGTGTGGTAATAGGGATGATGACAATATTTTGACAATTTTTTTGTTTTGTTTGTCCGTCAGGTAGATCACTGAAAAATACTAAACACATTTTTTAACTTTTATGTATAATCATTAAATTACTGCAATAAATTGAGTTAAAATGTCACAAGATGTAATGCTTTTGTACATTTTCTACAAAACTGACATAGCCCCCACAAACTTCTTATTAAATTATAGGCTTACTTAAATGAATCTATTATTTTTCTATTATCTGACTGACAGACTAAATAGAAGTTCTGTTAATAAGTAATGTCAATTTTAATGATTTTTTGTGCAACTGGCAGTATGTTCCATTAGATAAGGACTAGGACTACATTCCCTTAAGATATTATATCTGAAGAAGCCAAGATAACTTACAAATGTATGTATTAAAGGCAGGCTCTAGTACTACTAATGAATTTGAAATAACCCCCCAAAATACAATGAATTTCTAATTTATAACGGCATCTGATTTCAGGTAGACACAAATGTTAACTTTACAAAATAAATATGCAATAGAGAAAAGATAAATTGTAATTTTAACTCACGATGCTGTATCCACATGTTTCAGCTTTACTGGTGTATCTCTTCTCCAATAGTCATTATTACAAACTACTGTCCAGTTGTCTCCGCTGTCACCTTCACCAACATCATCACCATAGCATGACACTTCTTGGTTAGCAGACAGTGGTGATGAGAAATAATGAGAGTGCAGATTCTTCTTGGTGGCAACATGTTGCAGTCTTACAACTGTGTTACACTTGATGGGTTCACTGAGAAAACAGAACATTTTCATTAGTCTTTTGATTGTTGGTATAATTAAGAAAAAATGCCAGATACTAAATTATATAGTTTTAAACCACATCTGTTATCAAAACCTACAATAAGAAAGGTAGAAAATATCATTGGTATCGATTCCGGAAGCTCAGAGATAGCGACACGTAAAAATTGGCAAGCTCTAGAGACATTCTCTACAGTGATAGGAAATGTTTGTTTTCTAATTAATCTTACCCTCTCTTACACTTCTCGCCCATGGGCGCTCTTATCAACCAGTGGCTATTATGATCATCGGATATATCCACGCCTGTCACCGACTGTTGACCAGAACCAGAACCGTATTTCACATCGTGCGAGTGCAAGCGAAGGCGAAGGTCCGTATTCACAAGTTTCAAAATTGTACCACATGTAACATATTCTGCTTTAGACCCTGAACAAAAAGGCACATTCTTAATTAAAGCTTAACCGTCTACGAATTTGAAGATAAAAGTTATCAGATTTAATATCCACCCATAATATTGGGCCACGTAATTGGAAGCCAAGCCGCGTTGTTGAAATAGTTTTTATTTAAATAATTTAAATTATCTTACCCTCCGAAAATTGTATTGAGAGTATGACATGAAATACTATAGGCAGGAGATACGTGAGCCCAAAAATGTTTAGGAATAGCATTTTTATATTCGAAATATCCAAATCACTGTAAATTATACAAAACCGAAACCATCTCACATCAAAGTCAAATAAATACTGTCAATTGTCATCATACTGTCAAAATAAAAATAAAATTAAAGCAATCATATTTTTTTAAATATTTAACGGCCTTGGATTAAAGCTGTCTTAAGCAGCATAAACTCACTTCATGTTATAAGCATGTTTATACAGTTGATACAAAACAAAAAACTATTATTGAAATGTTTAACAATAATCTTTAATAAAATAAAAATGAGGAAAATCTCTTCAAACGTGACTGCATAGACATAATCTCTCCGACTTTAAATAAATCGGAAACTTTGATTAACGATACAACTAGACGCCCGGTCAGAGTCTCAAAGATGGCCGAAGACATAACGCCTAACTTCAAAGTGCGGTCTTATTTTATGTGACGGCGCCAAAGTTCGGATATATTACGATGTCACAATGCGTAATAAAGACTGCAAATATAACTATCAGAATAAAATGTATCTGTTGGAATATCATATGTATGGGTTGTAAATATGATTTTACAATGTCTATAATCAAAGAATTTTCAATAAAATAATAGTTTTGTTTTTAACCCAAGCCACGCGACAACATGGCCTTCATTCAAAAAGTGATCTATTACATTTTTTTTTTACCAAAACTTATTAATACCATCTTGGTGTAGTAGTTCGTGTTCTCGATTACATACCTAGGGGGAACCTTCTATAGGTTTGTATCGGTCTGGGTGATTAATATGTATTTTGAGCAAAAGATACTATTTAAAGCAAAAGATACGTTCCCTGAAAGTGACGTAAATCAGTGATTCAGTGATTGAATATTAACTGTTTTAAGTAGAAATGAAGGTTGGAATATACCATCGACTTCGGATCCAATAATTAGTCAAATAAAATCTCAACCCAGATCACACACCATAAACCTAAAGTATCAGTTGGTTCTTTCTGTAAACAAAGGACTCCCAAATTTTGAACTGGTGGTAGTTTATTGTAGTCAAGGGCAAATAAATAAACAAAAACTTAAATATTTTATAATGAGGAAGTATTTGAAAAAAACGAAAGCACCAAAAAAGCACCTTCACTAGATGACGACTCTAGCAAAAGTTGATTTTTGCAGGAAACGAATGGACCAAAGACAGTCATTTCCGTTCCTTTCACTAACATATTAAAAAACTGAAATTTGAAAATTTCGAAACTTAGATATCAATACAAATACGAAAAAGAACAAATTTTCTTTTAAACACGAAAGAAAACCGGAAGGGTTGTCATGAAGAAATCAAGAACGTACCGTAGCGACATCTAGTTTGATTTTGGGAACTAATGTTTTTTTTAATACTTCCTAATTGCTGTCTGGTCCCTTATTATCAAATACGTTTATTTTATTTTTGCTTTAATTAGAATGTGTGCAAAGATAATAGATTTTATAATTGTACTATTATTTAAATTGAAAACCTCCTACCTCCCTAAATTATCAACGGGGGCCCGGGGCGGCATTAGATCCATACCTACAACTTTTTACAACTAGTGCAGAAACCTGATTTTGTGTTAACACCGCCTCCCCTGCTAAGACGCCTGCTAAAAATACGAAACTAAGAAAGATCAGGCAGTAGAACCCCAATTTATGATTTGATCAAGGGAACTTTCAGCCATTTGGAGGCCCCCCAGAATAAGAGGCCCGGGGCGGACCGCCCCCCCCCCCCTTAATCCGCTACTGTCTGGATAAAATATTAGAAATGTTTTTCCTGTAGAATTATACCCGGTGGAACAGAACGACCGACAATCCCGAGGTTCCTGGAGAGTACTATTTGTCTGTAATATGATGTAAAAAAAAATATATGCCTAGGTCAAATAGTTTCGGAGATATTAAATTTCAAAGTTTTTGGAAAAAAATGAGTGTTGTTTTTGGGACGTACTAAGGAACAAGTTTTAATCGGTCATTGACTTCTTAATTTCTAAAAACAAAATAAACTAGTTTGTGATTTATAAGACAGCTTCCATGCAAATAATACCAGACAATCAGTAAACAAGACAGTCAAAATTCTTAAATCGATTTACAGACTAACAGCCGGTTTCTGATTTGAAAAAAGTAGATAATCTCTACTGCTTATTCTAAATAACCTAAGTTTTTTTAATTTCGCAAGTCAAATAGTCCTAGTTTTATCAAACTTCTATCAACTGATTATCAAAAAACTAAAATTGGAAACGAAAACTAAGTGATGTTAGTTTAAGACGTTTAACTTTAAATTCTCAATTCAGAAACCGAGTGTAATATTTTCTAAATTATTGTAGAGAGATCAGTCTAACATTGACTTACGTTATGTTGAAAGAGCAGTTCTCCAAAAAAAATGTTTGAATGGGGTAATACTCCTTTAACAACGAGATCGTTAATTAAACTCGATAAACTCACAAATCTTCCGATTCATTACTAACACAAATGTACTTTATTTTAAAAACATTGAGGAATTTGTTATTTAAATAGTATTTAAGTAATTGCATATAAAAGGAACATTATAAAATGCATAATATCAAAAGACGAATTAAAAAAAGGTGAAACGAGTTCGATCCTGGATAAAAGCCCCACCCGCCCGACAACCGCCGCCCCGCTTCATTGTTCTGTCGGGGTTTCCCGTAACTGAGTTGCATAAAATAATAATACAATTCCTAACGGAGCTCAGTCGCCGCCGACCCTTTGCACTGGAGTGTCGTTGCGTATCGCTGCCGACGCACCGCTGCGAAGCGCCTTTTTTGTCGATTTTTGTTTTGTTCTAGTGCATTTTTAATTGAATTTTTGTTAATAAGATACTACAGTGTTCGTCTTGAGTGTTAAGTGTAGTTTAGTAAAAATTGTGTTTAGTTTTGTGTGAAATGTGATGTATTTTGCGCATGCATGCACCGGCATGCTGCTTGCGTGCTTAGCTCAGTCTTCAGAGAGGAAATAGACATTTCCAGCATCGACTATCTAATTAATCTAATTAATGTATTTCGCGGTCCATTGTTATCTGCGCACAATTTTGCGCATGCGCGTTATAGGGCTCTCAACACAGAACTTAAAAAAAATTTACTCCATTTTTACACCTTCCTTATTTTGAAATATTTGTCAAATAAAATGATGTTTGCATGTAACCTGACTTGAAATTTTCGGCTGTCTCGGTCATTTTGTTCCTCCCAGTATTAAAAAATAAAACTAATAATACTGAAGACTAAACTTCATGAACTAAGATCCCTTTGTACTTTAAAGATATTGGTGACGTTGATATGACACTGACATTTTATGTTTCTCAAGTTTTCATTTGCTTTTCACTTTTCGTAACAATTACTAAATCGAGGCAGAAATTGAATTAGAATCCGAAATATTAAAGCCTTAAAAATAAATATCAACAAAATGGAGAAGTGTAACCAAACGGCAGCTAATACTAACGAAAAGGGTAATTTTAAAGATGTTTTAAATATGTAATAGTTATATTTTAGTACGAATGCATTGAATATTGATAAAACATTTAAATTTCAGTGCCTTTTGATCCTGGTTGGAACGACCCACCAACGTTTTCCTTCAATGCACAACAAACTACTCCAAATAAGCCAAGGAACTTCTTGAATAAAAGGGTTGCATTTCCTTTATCGGGCAGTAGCCCCAGTCCGGCACCTCCACCCTCTGTAAATCTGCCTCCCTTACCAATGACTACACCAATCCTTCCACCCATGCATACAAACCCAAAAATCATTAATCAACCTGAAAATGATACAGAAATCGACAGTGAAGGTACTCTACAGGAAGTGAAAGGCATATTGATTATGTTCTTGGACAAAAGCAGTGAGTTAGGACCTAAATCTAATGATATAAAAAGGAGAATTAATATGATGGAAGAAATGTGGGCAAGCGGAAAACTGAATAATAAAATACATTTCTTAATGAGAGAACTAGCTTATGGTAAAGTATATAATTAATTAATAATGTCTATCATTTGTTTATCAATTGCTACTGATTTCTTAATTCTACTGATTTGAAATTTCCACTAGTATAAACAACTATAATCCTAAAGAGTTTTAATCAATGTCTGTTCAGTTTCATGGCAAGATACACTTATTTGTTAATAAATAAGTAAAATAAGTAATAAAATAAATAAATAAATAAGTAATAAATAACTAAATTACTTTTTCTTAGTATGGTTGATGATAAGGGTAATTTTTAACTAGGGTGTTTGAATATTATAGTAGAAATACTTTGATACACCTAGGGCAGGGGTGGGCAAACGGTCGATCGCGATCGACCGGTCGATCGCAAGGGAATCTATGGTCGATCGCATTCCTAAAAATGTACTGACGTGTTGGGCTAATTCCAATAACAGTGGTCTTTTCACCAGTCAAAATACCAGTATCTAAAGTGCGTTCATAAAAAACATTTTATTTTACACGCGCGTAACTTTAAGAAGAAAAAAGATTTTGGTTTCGGTGAGACGTCATGTCGTGATTCTGGATTCTGTACTTGTTTATGTTTCCCAATAACTTTCGTGATCGTGTGACTTCGTGCTGCTCATGAATATATTTTGTACTGAGGGTAACTAAAGGAGAGAGTGAAGTTGGTAACTATTATTTAAAAAGAGTGCGCCAAAAAAAAGTAAAACTTATCATTTCAACGATGAATGGGAAGAAGAATTCTTATTTACCATGGTGAAAGACAAGTGTATTTGTCTTGTTTGTCGAGCTTCAGTAGCTTTGCCTAAACGCGGCAACTTAGAAAGGCATCATAAATCCTTGCATAAAATTTACGAAAGTGATTTTCCTCTCAAAAGTGAAATAAGACGTCAGAAAGTTCAAGATCTGAAAGGTAGCTTGAAGGCCGAGCAAGCTATGTTTACCAGGCCAAGTAAACAATCGGAAGCTGCGACAGTTGCGTCCTTCAAAATATCTCATATATTGGCAAAACACAAAAAACCCTTTGAAGATGGCGAGGTATTGAAAAAAGCATTTCTCGAAGGCGCAAATTCATTATTTGGCGACTTTAAAAATAAAACTGAAATCATGTCTGCCATAAAAGAGCTCCAGTTGTCTCGTCGGACTGTAACTAGACGTGTTGAGCTCATGAACAGTGATATCGAGCAAAAGCTAAAAAGTGATATTATGAGATGTTCATTCTTTTCTTTACAATTTGATGAATCCACTGATATGATTGACACTGCCCAGCTATGTGTGTTTATTCGGATGGCATTTCCAGATACGTCGTCTAAAGAAGAGTTCTTAACAATCATACCTTTGAAAGAAACCACTCGCGGTTCAGACATATACGATGCTTTTCTAAGTTTTGCGAAAAACTACGAGCTGCCTCTGTATAAACTAGTGTGCATAACAACAGATGGAGCACCATCAATGACTGGAAAGACTAATGGATTTGTGGCACTGTGCAGAGCTAATGAAGACTTCCCATCTTTTTTTTCTTTTCATTGCGTCATTCATCAGCAGGTGTTGTGTTCGAAAGTACTGAACATGGCAGATGTGATGAGCATCACTATGAAGATCGTAAATTCTATACGAGCCAGAAGCTTGCAACGACGCCTCTTCTAAGTGCAATTGGAGGCCAGCGAATCTGAGCACACAGATTTATTGCTCCATACAGACGTAAGGTGGCTGAGCCGGGGAAAGTTCTTAGAATGGTTTCAAGAATTACTACCTGAAATCATTTCTTTTCTGGATCAAAGGGGTGATGACACGGAGATTCTTAAAAGTGAAAGTTGGCTGTGTGATTTGGCTTTCCTTACTGATGTGACTGGTCATTTGAATTCTATAAACCTGGAGCTACAAGGGAAAGATAAAACTATTATGGACATGATTAGCACAATTAACTCATTTAAAAGTAAATTGCAGCTTCTGATCAACCAACTGAAAAAAAAGGACTTGAAAAATTTTGCGTCTTTGAAAGCAAAAACAAGCGCCGTAATAAATTATAATAAATACGAAACAGAACTTGGAAATATTCTCAGCGAGTTTGAAAGACGTTTTTCTGACTTACAAAAATTGACGAACGTTGTTACTTTCATGATTTATCCTTTTTCTTGTGTGAATGTTGAAATTACTGCTTCTGAAATATCGAACACTTTTGACATGGATTTGTCTTCTCTCGAAAACGAGATGATACAGATCATTTCAGATGTTCACCTAAAAGCCAAAGCAACAGATATCAGTTTTTGGTCTCTTTTGACCCAAGAAAAATACCCAAGTCTCCAACAAATCGCACAGCAATTAACTGCTTTGTTTGGGTCGACGTATTTGTGCGAATCTGCGTTTTCTGAAATGAAAATAATTAAATCCAAATACCGCAATCGACTTACCGACGAACATTTGTCTTCCTGTTTACGTTTGGCACTTACTAAATACGTGCCTTCCTATGAGAAATTAGCAGAAAATACGCAGTGCCATGCATCGACCTCTAAGTAAATCAGTCCAGAGAGGCCCGAAAACTGATAAAAACACTCTTAGTTCATGTGATTGGCTTCATACTTATTTTTAGTAGTTATTAGTTATTAACTTGTATAATAAGAAACTGTACTTCTTTAATTGTAAATAAAAGTATATTTAAATAGTGATATGTGCGCAATACCTACAATAAACGATTTAACATAAAAAAATATTGTCTTATTGCAAGTCGATCGCTTGTCGTCTCAATTTATTGATATAGATCGCCATTAGTGAAAGTCTGCCCACCCCTGACCTAGGGGGAATACTTCAGGAGCAATTGGCTAACCTTGAAATAGATATTTGTACTGTGACATGTAAAATTTCTTTGTTGATTGGAAGACCTCTTACAGCTCTCCGAGATGACCAGCCAAGTAAAGCAGATGATATTCATCGCACCCTCATGGTGGATCATGTAAACGCAGTAGGCTCATGGATGCCTGGAGTCAAACAATTAGTCCACCATTGTATAGCTCGATCAGAACTATTGTCCTTAGATAAGGAATAATCTATTTAGTCATGATAATAGGAGACTATTTGTATATATATAGGATTAACTTTAAGAAAAAATTGTGATTTTATTTTATATATTTTTATTTATTTTTTTTTGCTTATATCATTATATTGCCATAAAACATACCTTGACTGTGTTATAAAAGTTGTAAATAAATACAAATATGGTATTAACATCATGTCATTTAATCAAATTGTTATCATTATTCTATAACAAAACACTCCGGCTTATTTACAGTGATTTAATGTTGAAGGTGGAACTAATACTGTACAAAAACCTAGAAAAGTAATGACAGATATATTAATTTTAGCATTACTATAAATTCAAATGCCACGTTTGATGGGTTTAGGTGCGACTGTCACACGAACAGGTCGACATAACTCTACAAGTTGTGCAGGCTCCCGGCCAGCACCTTCTTCGACGGCCAGACACACTGACATGTCAACGCCGCATGGCTCTGTCCATACACCGTGCGATATTAACACCTTTGTTAATAATCGTACATTCTGTGTGCCATCTTCATCTGTATAAGAATAAAATTTAACCATTACAAACGTTTGAATGACAATAATATCACTATAAAGTTACTCAACATTTCGTCATACATGACTATCAGTCAAAAGAGTACTAACATTATTTAAAAGAAGCTAAAAATCATTATACTTTGATCATCATTATCAGGCTGTTAATGAGGACCAATGGCTTAACGTGCCTTTAGAAATACATAGTAAAAACCACTTGAAAATTCATTATACCCATAAAACAGCTGTTTACTTATCTACAGGTACTGCAGGTGTTTACTTATCTACAGCTACTAGGTGGTCTGTGGCCAGAAATAAATTTGTCAAATTGTGCCTAACAATGAAAAGCGTGGTTTGCTTTTCTCTAGAAAATATCTATAACTCACACCCTATTCTATATGTCCTCGAATGAAACTTAAAAAATTTGAAATGTTTCTTATAATTTTGTTAGAATCATATCTGTGCTTCCTCCATTGCATTTGAAAATTTCGTTTTTGGTGAAATAGAATAGGCCTTCGAGTGCACATGTAATTCATATGAGTGGCAAATTTCGTGCCCTTCGAAATACTCACTGATGTGATGATGGTCTAGTGGACGTAGATGATCTCTGGGCGGTCGTAGCGCGTGTACTCTACGATCAGGGTAAGCGACTCGCACTCTCAAAGCGCCGGGCTCTCTCACGCGACACACTTCCGCCTCCAAAGCGACACTCGTTACCAAACCAGCGCAGAAACGTAGCACGGTGTCGTTATCGCTCGCTGGCTCTATTATACTGGCTGTGCACATGCGGATCTAGATTTAAAAGAAACGGATGATTACAGCAAATCATTTAATTGAAAGTTCTGTAATATAAAATAAAATGGCTCGATGTACTTTGTTAGTTATGGGGTTCAATATCTTTTGGAATCTTTTAAGGGTTTTTGGAGGCGAAAGTTTGAGAAACTTTCATCTGTTATCTTAGTTTGCCTGAATATGTCATTATGTCATAATCAGAGCAAAGTATTTTTTTTATAAGATTTTTCTTACTAAAGAAAAACATTGGGTTTGTCGATCATAAATTTATACCGCTCTGGATAAAACAAATGTTGATTATACCATTTTTTTAAAAACCTATATCAGTTTTGGGTGACTTTTGTTATATGAAACAAAAAAATTGAATTAAAAAAACTAAGTTCAAAAACACAGTATTTGAAACTAACTTAACGCATTATATTAAAGTTCACGAATTTTTAAATATTCAGTTGGCATTTTCAGTATTTTATATGGGAACAGCTTAATTGCATTATATTTTCATAAAATTAGCATGCATCCCTTAGATAAGTAGTAACATATATGCAACTCATACGAATTAACACGCCATCTGAGCGCCTATTCTAATTGTCCTCAAACAAAAATTCAAATAAATTTCGAATCGTTCTTATAATCTTGTTAAAATCATATCTGTGAATATTTTTTGTTCATCACAGTTCACCGTTCTACTTTACATTAAATTTTACAGAAAATACGTTTCTTTGAAATCATATAAGCGTTTCGACATTTTCCAAGAAATTAATAACAAATTAAATACTTAAGAACACGGTGCACAAAACTAGAGATAAATACTTATACATAATTGAGCAAAATAAACCCTCTCAGATGTTAATTGAATCCTGGCATTTTGGGGACTAACGGACTAAATAGAACTTTTATTCCTCCAGTCGTAATCTCTATTCGAAATACTAAATATTGACTCACGTTGAGGTTCGGTTTCGGTATAATTGGAAGCGGCGCCGCCTGCAGTAGTGGCACGATGGCGCGGGCGAGCGCGGCCGGCTTGTTGTCCGCGTTCATCGACAGCTGCTGGAACACTGCGATCGTGAACGGGTCCGGCTCCACGCCTATAAGGGGTTAAGGTTTTATTAAGAGTCCCCGAGACGGTCGTTTTTCAATACGGGTGTAGACAGTAAGCGAAAATAAACATATAACTTTTTCTTGGTCGTATTTAATATACTATTAACGATAAATCACGCTTTTAATGCTTATTGTATTAATAATATTGTTCAGCAGACACGGTTCCACGTAGTCTCATAATCATCAACCAAAAAGCAGTGATACGTAGATCGCGTCGCGGTCGCTTATTTATTATCTGAAATTGTTGAGGAAGACGAGATACAGGAAAAGTCGACTATTCTCTATAGCTCTATCAGCATCAGCAACCAGTGCTATACAGGTCAGTCAGTCAGTCATTTCGTTTTCCCCCACCCATAATAATAAATACGAAATAAATTTTGAAATACTGTTAACTCCCGAAGTACTAAATAGAATTCTAAGAATACGATAGAAAACCCAGAGTCGATTCGTTATTCGATTGTAAACAATGACAGCGAATAAGTGAAAAACAACTAATGAAAATGTTCGAAAAGATAAAAAAATTGCGACGTCATACATAACAGTCGGAGACATGAAATAGAATAATAAGTCAAATCATTATCTCTTTATGGCGGCTTTTTTGTTTTATTTTAATTACAACTTTTTAGTTGGATAAATTACTAGGTCGGTTCAGAAAGTGAAAGAACAAAGTTCATATTTTTAAACTTTATCATTGTATTATTTTTATTATTATTAAAATTACTTTAATAATCATGATATAACTTTTTGGAATCCTAATATTGAGCCCTTTAATTTAATACCCGCGCATAATGTAGTATTTGAAACAAAACTTTATCATTAAATATAATTGTATTTTTTTTAAGTTGCCTATCTAAGAACACTTGGGCTACTAAGACAATTCTAACATACCTCAATTATCTAAATCCATTATTGATTTTACGGTTCTGAAGATATGAGGTGATAAAGAATATAACAGCCTAAAGGCACATTTTATTATTCAATTGATATATTCAAAACCACCACGCCAATTCCAACAAGTTTTACAAGAATAACAACCCGCTAGAATATTGGCGTGAAACTGATCTCACGTCTAATAACAGTGACAACCAACTGACAGTTAGGGTTACCCGTAGTGTAATCGACAATTAGTGTTGCCAGTTGTAGTCGATGTTTTTTCCTCTGACAATATAATCATTCCCTACAGTCGGGTAAAAAAGGCACTACGTACCAGCGGCGGCGAGCACTCGGTCCGCCAGCTCGGCGTGGTGAGTGAGCGCGGCGGCGGCGGAGAGCGCGGCGGCCGCGGCGGGAGCGGGGGCGGCGGGCGTGGTGAGGCCGGCTGCCCCCGTGGTGGCGGCGCCGGGGGCCAGCGCGCCCCCCACGCCCAGCGCCCCCGCCCCCGCCGCCGCCGCCGCGCCCCACAGTCGCGCAGCGCACACGCGCAGACCCAGCTGCACCACGCACGCGTTCTCCTGGTCGGTCACACCGCTGAACTGATGCTGAAGTCTAAAATACAACGTATTCGTTACTGTAATGCTACTTATATTTATTTAGTTGCTATTTATATTTATTTAATTTAGATGAAATCAATCGCTGAAATTTTCTTTAATTTACGGATTACGAAAGTTCATGGGTTCGAGTCCCATCTCAGAGTGCCGGGAACAAAGTGGATTTTTTAAACATTTTCATTTAGCATATTTCTCAGTATAGCATAGTGAATGCAATATTGATCAAATATAATAATATACTTACAATTTATTTTAAAACAAATATACGACATTTTTATTGGTTACATACAAATTACCATTTCCAACATATTTCATTATTTACTATTTTTACTGACATGTAGTCAATTGTCTTAAAAAAATAATTTAAAAAATTTGTGAGACGTGATTATGAAAACGCCGTAAATTTTAATGTTAAAGAATTTTAATTTACTACTACTTAAACGCTTAATCAAACCTGAGACAGTCCGTAGTGAGTTGCTGCAGCGCATGAACCGGCGGGCCAGAGCTAGAATTCAACGCTTCATGCAGCATTCTAGCGCTCCGAGCGAACAAAGCCGTGAAGTTAGCCGCGCCAGACACGCTCGGCTCCATCTCTGACAACCTTATCAAGAAAAACGTTATCAGTTATCGTGACCAACCGCTTAAAGTGCCTTACAAAGAATGGAGGAGCTCGCGATAAATTTTTGGTCACCCATCTTATGACTGGCCGTTGCAAATGTTGCTTAACTTGCGCATCGCAAACGGAACGCGGTAATCTCTACGCTAACGTGCTCTTCATACGAAGCTCGAAAACAATATTTACTTAGGCGCATCAAGGCAAGTCAAATTTCTACATATCGTCGTCTTTGTCGTGATTCGTTCTACTCTAAGGCATTAAGATACATAAACTGAAGCAGAATAGGCGATGAAACATTCTACGATAAATAAGACATTATGAGAAATTCCTTTTGTAGTCAGAGCGCTAAATAACTTGCATTCACTTTATACCGAACTGTTAAAGTCAACAGAAACTTGCCGACAACTTAAAACGAGTGGGAAAAATAAATTATAAATCGTATAGAAAAGCGCTAGTATAATATGCATTAATGCCCGTTTTCACTAAACTTAGGAACCGCTCAAATCTAACATCTAAATATTTTGGCATTGTTTCACCAATGACAAAGATTCACCTAATGACTTTAAGCAAGTTAGTGCGGCGCCTAACGCTGGGCATTTGTGTAATGTGACATATACATTTACTCTTTGGCTATAAAGGATATGTCAACGGATAAAAACAATTTAGTAAGTTGGAATCAAGAAGTTTATATAGTAGAATTAAGATAGAAACAATAAGATCTTTTGAATTTTCTGACTTTTATAAATGGACAATGACAACTTGGGTACTCGTGCAAATACGAGACCACATATGTTTCTCTTGTTTTATAATAAATATTTTTTTAATGTCTCTGTTACGTGTAAAGGCCACTAAGGTGACATTGGCGAAATTGTATAAACGCAAATATGCCATACATTAAAAAAAAGAGGTACTGAAGCATGCAAAATCATAGACAAACGTTGCATAACTAAGCAAGTGCTTAGTAAGGCATTAACTAACGTTACAGGTTTGGTGAAACGACATATCTGCATATGCTATTTTTAATATTAAGTGATTTCTAGTTAACCTATGCGTTGTTCTAGGTTACTGAAAACAGTTATAAATCATCCCGCAAGTAAGAAAATTATTTCCACTTCCACAAGTACTTCTAAGCATAAAATGCATTTTTAGTGGTCTTTCCTAATGTTATATAAAATAAAGTCGGGACAAAGGTTGACTGAAACTAACTTATTCAGTTGCTCTTCAGCGGACTGTAACATCTTGAGGCGCACGTTAGTAGATAGCGTCGTGTTATCTATGTGCTGCAGCACAGAGTCGAAGAAGCGTCGCACTGCGCTGTCGTCTGTCGGCTCTATGCGTTCTCCATTAGACTGTTGTGCATCACCTATAAATTATTTATAAATTTAAATACCAAACAAACATGATTTTATTTTGGGGTCAAGACTGGACTGGGTTCAGGGCCTAGGTGCACTAATAATTAATATTGTTATACATAAATTTTTCATATATTTTTTGTCTTAATATAGATTTTATTTGAGTACTTTCAATATTTAATTAATTTAATATAATTAATAAAAATGAAAATATCTTTATTCAAGTAGGCCTATTACAAGCACTTTTGAATCGTCTAAAAAACATTTTTCCCAACAAGAAGAACAAGCGAAAGAAACTTACCAGCTCTTATCATAAGTAATGACATTTACATAAATCATTTCATTACCAAAATAATATGATTATCACAATAATAAATACAACTTTCAAAGTCTGTAGGGTATAGGTTATACTGTACATACCTATAATTAGTCGTTATAGAATAAAGCGAAGGCTATTAATTACATTCATTGCGGTCCTTAAAATAATCATCAACTTTATAATAGCCTTTACTCATAAGTATGATCTTTACATGAATTTTAAATTTATTTGCGGGTAGGTCAATTTTTTGTGGAACCTTATTAAATAAAGCAATCAATGCATCAACCCAGAAATAATACTTTGTATCTATTATAATAAAATTAACTTCTTATGGCTTGACCACGACTATGTGACCCTTTTTAATGTACATGTTAGTAACAGCCCACTGTGCAGAGAATGCTTGGAGGCAGAAGTAACAGCCCGCTCACGTCCTGCTGGAATGCAACGGGAGTGTCAAACTAGGTACCGGGCAAAATACCTCGGCTCGCCGAAAAACCTCCACGACAGAGACCGTCTAACTCTTGCTATAAGTCTAGCCATAGTTATAAACGTTTTCTAGCTTTTTGTCTTAACTCTACTTTCTTGAAATTAGTCGAAAAAAGTTTAATATAGTTGTATAAAAAATTGTAATTTCTTGTTGTTAGAACTGGAATTGTGACAACGAATTTTAAAAATCTTGATTATATATAATCTAAGACTAAAATTTATACACTCAAACTATAGTTTGAAGATTGATCATATTTGGCACATCAATCAATCGTGGTCACACTTTGCTTATTCCACTGATTAATGACAATACTGGATGTTCTTAAAACATTATTTATTATTGAAACTTTATACACTGGATATGACTTGCTCGCGACAATACTACACAAAGCATTTAAAGCAACGTTATAAACATAATGATTTAATATTAAACGCTGACGCGGTGACAAACTTAATGTGTGATATAAATCGTAGAGGTAATTTTATTTCAGTTTATTTTATGAAATTTTCAATGGCGAACTTCCAATAGTGTAGTGCACGACATCAAGAAGAATCAATTATTCGGGCATCTGATATAAAACTTCGCGATATTTCGGACTGGCAATATAGCGCGTTACCATTTTTACATCAAATTATAATTAAGAAAAAAAAAATATTTTAGTTCAATTTGTTTCTGAAAATCGATACTAATAATACACCAAACATTATGCAAAGATAACTTATCATTATTTCTCATGTCTATATTCAATTAAACACATATACTATTATGTATTCATGCCGTATTTCTAGATACGCAATTTCGATTATAATTAAAGTATTTTGACAAAATGATTCTATCATTTTAGTTCCCTACATAATTTTTGTTATATAAATACCTAATGGATATCATTATTACTTTATTTTATAAAATCAGTAAATATGTAATTTCTTGAATAAAAAGAAATCATAAAAAAAACTTGGCAGCGGTGGGATTCGAACCCACGCCTCCGAAGAGACTGGTGCCTTAAACCAGCGCCTTAGACCGCTCGGCCACGCTACCCGTACAGACACAATATGAAAATAGCATTCATTTTTACGAGGAACTTTTGAATAAATAATTATCATTAAGATGACAAAAGTCACGTACTAATTTAAATCTACTTCACACATTTGATATCAAAACAACTGTAAAAATGTATCATTCAAAACATTGTTTATGTTTTAATACTTATTCGTTTTGATGTATATTTATAGCGCATATTCTGGCAGCCGCCGGCAATAACATTATTTAAGTCCGTTTGATTAAAATACGATGGTTTAGGTGATACGAGACCATCGGATAAGTCTAAAGATGTGATTCTGCATCACTAACAAGCTATTACACCCTAGTTAATGCCTCAAATCATTGGTTTCATAACAATATAATTTCATATCAATGAAAATGCTTTATTATACTCATGTATTGTATTTATGGGTATGGTAAATATATCAATTTAATATTCAACGGACAAAAACGTTATATTCCATCCAAAAAACATCTACACTCGATTTTAAGACTAACAGGCACAAATGTCCATTAAAATTGTCATTAGGTTAAAGCGAAATTACCGATACAAATTTGTCATTCAGTAGTGCTTAAAGGTATCATCAAACCTTAATGGACTCACCGTCAAACCTTACTATGTTCTATATATTTTTTTAAACCCAAATTTTATTTAATTATTTATATTTTATAATAACGACCTAGCGCGTTTATTTTCATTATAATATCAAATAGAAAATACCGCATAATATGTATATACAATAATAAATATATATATATGTAAAATATAAATAAGTCAAGAATTATAATGATCGCATCTGATTAAAGTTTAAAGGTTGATTGCAGATATATATTTAAAAAAAATAAAAAAAATAAGTCAAGAAAATAGGCTTCAAAGTGCAAATATGCAACATCACACCATGCCTAGTATTCGTGTTTCAGGCAGTGGCGACCAAACCACATCAGCGACCCGGTGCGGCATCAGACCCGATCATCGACAACTTTTTCTTGATATAGTGTTTACACAACCTCTCCCCCTACCCCCTCCCTAGATGGCTGTAGTATATTAACGTTAAGGAAAGCAGAGAAAAATATAAGGCAGCAAAAGTAAACTACTGGTACAGGCAGTATTTATTTATTTATATACGGGGCATCCAATCCTTATCTACGATTTGATCAAGGGAATTAGCAGCCATTTGATGGTCCCCAGGATAGTGATAGATTTCACCGGGTGTAAAAAAGTTTAAATTTTGATTTAATTTTAAAGCTTTTTTAAGTTAAAATAAACGGATACAAGTATTATTTCCAACAGAGTATAATACGCTATTATTTCAACGTAATTTTTTTTTATTTTATTTTTCATTATGTACACTACCATATTTGGTCTACTCACCTATCGGCAGATACGGCACGAGATGTGGCATCGTGTCCCGTAGATACGTATAATGTTTGATGGTATGCTCCTCGAACAATGGCAACATGGTGGTGCAGTGTTGAGCTGCGTTCAGCACTAGGATCAACACGCACATGTCTACGTGGAAAAGGTATCAATGTAGAAGGAAATTCGTATGTATTCAAAATGATTTTGTTATTTAGTGATATCTGTAAATAGGTTCGATTTCAAACCATCGTCATCTCTGATATTCCAGGATTCCTTTGCCGTGTTTATTGCAATAAATTATGAAACGTGTTGGAAATGGTAATTCATATGAAAACAATAAAAAATTAGATTTTTTAAAATAAATTGTAAGTATTATTTTTGCAAAATGTACTTGTGATTTATATAATCTGTGGATTACAAGGTCCGACATGCGGGTGGCCATAACACAGCATTGTGTGACGTCACATTTCAATAAACTAAATGTTAACATCATTGTTGCGAGTGCAACCATTACTTGTGTTTAATGAGACGTCAAGGTTCAAAATGTCACGTGACTGATTGTTTTCGCGACACAATTTAAATTAATAAATAATAATATGTTTTCCAATTATCAGATAAAACTTTTTGAAGAAAAATAAATCTAATAGCGGTTTAATTAGATCACAGAAAAATTTCAAAATTCAAATAGTAAAAAAAATTAAGTTTTAAGAAAACCCAAAACAGTCAAGTAGCCAATTTTTCATAAATAATAATAATTGTTTATTTGCAAGAATATGGTACAAAAATTTCTCATATTCTACAATATATGAACAGTGTGCAAATGTTTTTTTGTTGTTGAGCAATGTATTTGATGTAGTCTCGTATTTATTTCATCATTATTATCAGCCCATGGATGTTCAAACCCTTGAGGCAGTGTGATTGGTGGATGTTATTATTATTTTTGTATGACTTGTGCAAAGGATACAGGCAGGGTCGTCGACGTCTGGTTCGGGCATATCAAAGAATGGATGTATAGCGAGCAATCGCGCCGTCAACGGTAACACGAGGGTCGCGTGCGAGCTGCCCAATTGTTGCACGCAACGAAACGTAGACCGCTTGTCCTAATTGAGATATTTTTTTTTTTATTTACATAGGCACACACTACAGGTAACAATGAAATTTATGTACATTTAATAAATAGTATAGTTGAGTCCTAGACTGTAACCCAAAAATGTGTATGTGTATGCGCAGCGTTACAAGCACGAGAATACAAAGTCTGCGTAATACAAACAAAAAAAAAGTTCTCAAAGAATTAAACTTAAACAAATTATATATTTAAATTAACAAAATTAATTTTGGTTAATCTCATACTTAGACAACTAAACAAAGTCTAGGATCCCTTTGACAATCATTATGTTTGGTTGATAATTCATGGTATAATCGACACATGTGTACGATTGGGTTGTAGTAATAGACACATACAAAATTGGAAATTGCTCAAAATTGTTAAAAACGTCTCAAAATATACCATGACACACTTGAGAATAGCTTTGTCAACAAGCAACTGTAACTTTTCTCCTGTGGTGAGTGAGATACCTTATGGGCGTGGAGGAAAGTGATATTTTAGAGTAAACAAAACATTCTCGAGTTGGTCATGCTACGTATGCAGCAAGTCTAGAGCGTAACTTCCTTTATATCAACCTCAGGTCGATTTTGAAGTCTTTACACAATTTTCATTAACTACTATTAGCAAAAAAAAAAAACAAAAAAAAAACGGATTTGTGTTCCAGTCAAAATAATCATTAATACAATATTACTCACCTGTGGATATCTCTTGAGATTCTCTAGTATTTTGTCAATGCACATCTCGAGGCAGGTCTTAGAGGCGACGGTGCAAGAGCCAAGCATTCTATGAAGACCCTCTCTGACATCCATGGAGTAATCCTAATACAAAACCAAAGGGCTTTCGTAAATGTTAACATTGATATATAGCTGATAGCATGAAAGATTGAAAAATTACATACTGTAATGTCGCTTGTCTACATTGAAAAGTATCTTTATGGTATAATTTTTGATATGGAAATAGTTTGGAGCTTGAAATCTAGTCAACTTTTTATCTCTTTGACCATAATGATGAAAATGGCTGGCTTTTGTCTATTTTGAATAGTATGTTAAAATGTTATTACCCTGCAACATTTACTTAAAGGACGAAAGACACATTTACTCGTAATCATAAATGTCTGTTTTTTATCAACATGAAATGACATATAAAAGTATTTAGAAATTTTGGCAAGTATTTACAAATTTAAATTCCTTGTCAAGTCTACGTAGAAAAATAAACTTTTCTATATTGTCTTGGGTTCGGATAGTGTTATGCTTTAGTTTTATCAGATTTTTATAATCCAAGTGCTATTTAATTAATCCAAGAGCTATCTTATTTTGGACCCGAGCAATGTATATCATGTTGTCTTATATTTATTTATATTCACGATATATCCTTACGGGGTTCACATACATCTAACGCCTCCTTCATTTACATTAGCGTTTTCATAAAAGCGCGCCGATTTTTATGAATCATGACGTCATCTTCTAGCAGCATGCGATTGATTATTTATCTATAAATGTAATACTAAATATATTAACCTCCAGTGCGCCGAGTATAGTTTCCAACTGGTCTTCCCGCAGCACTATATGGTGTGAGATACGCGTGAGACTGTCAATAGCCCGCAGCCGCACATCCTCTATTTCGTCGTTGAACATATCCACTAAGAAATCTAGTGATGTGGTCGCGAATACAGGATTCTCCATGGACAACTGGCAGACGGCATCCACAGCCGCGGTTCGGACCTCTACATGAAAAAAAAAAACTTATAAAGAGAATTGTGTAAGTCAATTATATTCATAAACATGAGTACTGGTTGCTCTCAACAAACATGTTGACGTTTAGTTTATTGAAATGTGACGTCACACTATGCTCCGTCAAGGCCGCCTGCGTTTCGATTCTTGTAATCCACTGGTTATGAATCGCAAGATATAATTTACCATTTCCAACATATAACTATCAAGTAACCAATTAAGAAAGGCGAGTTTGGGGAGAAGAGGGCAGGGGGAAGAGAGTTATTTTGATAGTCCCACATTTCTTTTTTTTAATAGAAAAGGAGTGGATTGGAAATTTATAAAAATCCTTTTACGACGATATTTAGATATTTTTTTGTATTATGAACATGTCCTGCCTGATAAGCGTAGTTAGACGATACTTTTTACTACTCGTACGAATTAACATAACATCGGCAATATATATCAGTAACGTGTCACACAATACTAGTCTCACCCTTCTTACTCATATCAGAACTCAAAGAATTAAACTTTATTCAGTAATAGATATTGGTTTAAGAGGGGCGTGATGTCATAGCGACGCCATGACAGAAGTTGGTGTTTTTGCTGGAAATTTTGATAATAAGGGTGTATAATCTAAAAAAATATATTAAAAAAGTATCAAAGTTAAAATCTAAAAATAAATTTATTTTTAAACATTTTAACAACTTTTGATTTATATATAAAAAAGCAAAGTTGTCTACACCCCTATTATTGGCTAAGATCCCTTCTCATACTGACCCATCAGCTCATCCTCGAGGCCGTGCACGAAGGCCCCGGCGGCGCCGCCGGGCAGCAGCTGCACGTCGTCCTGCTCCACGAGCTGTCCGGGAGCGTCGTCGGCCCACCGCCGGCCACTAGCCCAAGCCCCGGATCGCACCAACTCGGCACCACGCTCGTGAGCGGTGCGCTTTTTCTAACAAGAAGATAGGTATAACACCGTCAGTACACCGACAGTACAAACATTTGCGAAAGCTTGTCAGTTTTATGGCAACGAATTACGCCGTCAGTACACCGAGTAGTATAAACATTTGCGAAATCTTGTCAGTTTTATGGCAATGATTCGCATGTGCTTTGTCTCTCTCTATTATTAGCTCGATGAAATAGCTGCGTCCTTGACGGTACGGTTTCTTAGTTAATTGCGAAAAAAGTCGTTACACAAACGCGAATGTTTCTCATTCAGGTTTGCCACCCGCCCCGGTTGGTTTTGAATACAATTATACGAATGTCACGAATTTTGTTTCTCAAAAGGTGACAACCCTGTCATCATTCGCGCAGTTACGCAGATGTTTCGCATTCACAAGCGAATGCGTCGGCGTAACTCGTACGAATTAAGACGACACCAGCACGCGTAGTATGACAAACTCGAGAAACGCTTTGTCTACACTTCGTCACATGGGCGCACCCGAGAAAAGTGACATTTGAATGTAGACAAAACGTTTTCGAGTTCGTACACTCAAATGTCATGCTACGCGTGCTGAAGGCTTATTCTATTACTCCTAAAACAATAATTGAGAAAATTCCGGATCGTTCTTATACTTTTGTTAAAATAACATCCATGAAGATTATCTGTGCATCAGCGACGGTCTTAAGAGGTCTTAACTTAGTTACATCAGAAAGAGCGAAAAATGTTTTACTTTGGCGTCGTATTAGCATTTCGAAAATAGACGAGATCTCGTATTTGGAGAAATAGAATGGGCCTTTAGGTGTCATGATAATACGTACGAGTAGTCGTTAAAGTATTCAAACCAAATTATTTTGCAAATCATGTAATATTAAATCTATAAGTCTTAACATTAAGTTATATCCACTATACATTACACCAATATTAGTTAAGCAGAATATACAATATAAATCAGGATAAAATTGACAGTATATACCAATATAGTTAACAATTCAATGGCTTTGCATAAATGTCCATATCATTAATTGATTAATAATAAACATATTTTTATAGGTAACAATTTTAGGTATTTATTCTTTAAAAGTAAGTATCATTGCAAACCACAAGTATTTACAATAATTTTCCAATGAAATCAGTAGTATTATAAATATTTATACCAAAATGTTCAACAAATGCCCCAAAACTATAACTGACCTTCATATTACTCATGAGCTGTTTATCTAAAGTCTGCAGCAAGAACCGGTCGGATACTCCACGTGTTGTACCGAGGAGCGTGCAAGCCAACGCACGCACTTGCATGCAGAGATCATTCACTGCCGAACAAATGCGAATGAACGCGTCGTCCACCAAACGCATTGTTGTCTCTCCATCCTGTAGAGTTGTAAGACTGAAAACGACAATGAGTTATATGTATGTTTTTTTATGAGTTCCATTAAGATCTGTCGTATGCAATAATACCAACCATTGGTTGACGGCACTGCAGTTAAGTGACATGTGTTTAGAAAACTGTACTTCAGAATGTATTTGTATGTATTTTTATTTCTTCATCTCGACCTACTTTATTGTTGATGAAAAAGAATAAAACTAAATATTTACTTACTTTTCAGGATATTTATTGCCCAATAGCCATACTAACTTCAGGGCCACCTCTCTAACAATCTCATAATCATCAGAGAGAGCTGGACATACATTATCATATAGTTCAGCACTTAACGTCTGACCTCGTTCATCGAGAGTTAACAGGGACTGGAAAGACTCACAGCGCACTCTTGCATCCTGTAAAGACATATTTGATTGTAGGTTTTAATACAGACAACAACCATTACAGTTTAATTCATAATGAAAATATGAGACCAGTTAAATTGTAATATTTATCTATAATATATGTCAAACACTAGTCATTTGTAGAAGCAAAAAGTAGTTACCAAATTTTACAAACTTTACAGGAAAGATGAATGAAATAAAGAATATAATTTAGCATAAACAATATAACATAGCAGAGTTGATGTCTTTATATTCTGTTAATTTTAATTTTACATCAAAATTTAATAATAAGTTTGAATGTAATAATAATACAACAAACAAATTTGAAAAATCACAAAATTTACCAATTATTCTAAAAATGGAGAGATCATAAAATTTAAATATATTCATTGTTGGATTTTATTATATATATATATTCATTTTAGGAAAATGATACACCTATACTGAAATTATTAATACAAATGTTACAAAATTAGTGGCTTTACTGATTTCTATCATTATTTAAAAAGCAACAGCAAAACAATAATATCAAAGCTGACATTTATTTTTTTTCATATGAATTTTATTCAATTTTAGTGACAATTTGTTTTTTTTTTTTGGAATTATGTTGACATTTTTATATATCTTTTTGATATGACATGTATGACTTATAATATTTGCACATCGTCCTGACGACAAAATATGCTGGGTTTTTAATATTGATTAACAACATATAAAACCATATTTCTGCAAATAGAGATTTTATTATTATTAAGCACATAAGAATAATAGGAGAAACAAGAAGGATTTAATCCTTTTTATATGAGCTTGTAAAATACATAAGCCCTTACTAATAATGATTAAATAATTACACAATGTACGTGCAACACATTGTGTAGTTCTACAGTGTTTTGTCTTTTCACTCAAACTGAATGTGACATTGGAATGATGTGAACAAAGCTATGCATAAATAAACAATGGTATAGGTTTCTTATGAATGAGAGTATTAAGATTTAGACCAGACCGTATCCTATTAATAACAAAGTTAATAATAATATGTATTATATTACCTCAGCATTAGAATAATCTGCAAGCAACTTGACAATAGCATTAGCCTCAGCCGACATATCGGTTGTTCTCTCAGACTCTGGGTATATAGGGTAGAGTTCACTTATTAGCTGTAGGCACCGGCACTTGACCTGGTGACTAGTGTCCTTCAAGTTGTCCTTAGCGACACTAACCAATCGCATCATGAGAATTTTATCATCGGTCAATTTATTGCCAAGTTTTATCAGTGTCGCCATTCCTTGTGCTATTACCTGAACAAAAATTATCATATAAACACACATTAACACACTAAACTCATATTACATTTTTAATTTATTAAGAGGTTAAAATAAAAATCTTACCTTATGGGATGTTTCATTTTTTATCAGATGTATAGTTTCATCAATTAAATTATTAAGATTTGCACCTGGACATTCTAATCCGATGTCACAAAACAGCCAAAGTATTTTAACTCTCACAACAGAATCTTCTTCCGATTGAAAGTGCTCAGACAGTTTTTTAATGGCTTCTTCAACATCAGACTCTTGAAACTGCAGGCAGTCTGAGATACGAAGCAGCAACTGAAGAGCTTCATCGCTAGATTTGCATTTTTCTAACAGACCTACAAATGCTGCTGCTGAACTGCCTATTAGAGGCTTCTTGACAAGATGGAGCTTTTTTGTAGGTGGTCCATCCTAAAAATATAGTCATCATAATTATATATGATCCACCAAAAATAATCAGCAACATCAACACAAACACAAACCTGAAAAGATTTATTGTACTCTGCTAATGCTCTTTTCTTTAACACTGCAGCCATAATGTTTAATATGTCAACGTTTTACAAATACAACTGATATGTAGTTTTTAACATTAATAATTAATTATTCACAAAACATCATCGTGATCTATTACAACTTTAGCACACAAATGAGGTTGTCGATATACATTTCGTTTCATTAATTGACGGATGCAACAAAAATCACTACTTTCTATTAAATAATATCAGCAGTGTTCAAATTACATTAATGAATATTATGAAATAAACCAGTAAATAAACAAAATTTATTTCAGAATCGCTACACCAACACCGACACTAACTATACAATCTGTGGGCCCGTTATATGATTTTTCTCTTTGCTGTGGGCAATGATCCACAGACCAATAAGAGAACTAGTTCACAATGATCACAGAACACATTTTTTTTTATATGGACTTGTTCCGTTAACTTAATGATGACAACAGATTTGAATTCGATTCAATTTAATTGAAATACTACCTAGATAATTGATTTATTGAATTGAATTTTTGCCACCCAGAACGATTTCAAGATCGTCGCAAAACGAATAGATCAAAAAAGATCTTTACTATAAAGAATTTATATTAATTTTCTTCCATAATTAGAAAACAATATAAATTATTATCAGTAAGCAGTATCATTCATGTAATAATTAGGGATATCAATACGAGTAATTAAAAGTACTTACTCAATACTTTTCTTTCGATACCAAGTATTGCTATTGGCTATCAATAGTATCAAATCTTCTTTAAAAATATATAAAAATGACGAAGAGGGTAAGGCATTTTAAAACTATTCAATACAAGTGGGTATAGATTCTATACATTTGATACTGAGTAGATATCGTTTCCTCATGACCAATACGGTATAGAAAAAATAATTATAATACCTAGGGGGTATCGTCCACCCCTAGTAATAATTCAATATTACCCCAATAATTTAGATCAGTGATTCCTTAAGTGGTTCAGGTGGACCCCCAGGGATCCACGAGGGATTCATCGGGGTCTACGTTGGCGTGAAATAAATCTAATTTCCATCGTTAGATCTTCACATTTTAGACGAATTTTGGGAATATGGTAAAAATGTACCAGCAGGGGGTCCACCAAACCAGTAAGTTTTTTTAAATGGTCTACGAGAAAAATTGTTTGAGAACCTCTGATTTAGATAGATGAGTTTTTTACGATATTAGAAGCATGGATCGATTGATTGATATTTCGATCTTTATGTCATAATTTTTTTCTCAAATCGATCTTAAACGCACCAATTTGAAAAGATTCACAAGTTCGATTCTTTTGCTAAAGATCGGAATCCCTTACGACAATGATAAACAACTGTTATTTGTGATTATACTCGTGCTTCGTCCTCATGATTAGTAATTGTCTGTATTTAATAACACAATGTATGCGTAAAGCCTTGGCATTAAGTGGCAGCCGACCGCAAAAATAAATAGCCAAACTTTACCCCTGATGCGACAAAAACTAAAAGAAATATACATATAAATGCTAGGGCATCCCATGAAAACTATAGATCCCAAATGAACATTTTCAACAAAAACTTGTTTGAAGGGGATATAGCCACTTTCTGAAATTGGAAAATATTCTTATTTTTCATTAAGAATATATCCATTTTTTATTAGGAATATTTTCCAGTATAAATAAATGCAAAATTTATCAAATATAATAATTCAAGCAAATTTTCGTCCTTATCGAAAGTTTATAATATTTATAAAAACGTTTCTTTCGGCTGTTTGGGTGGATTGCCTGAACAATGATGAAAATACTGTCTGTAGTAGCGAAAAACTAACAAGTGCTTAAAAAATTCGCCAGTCCCTGTTAGGTCCTAGGTAGCTCTGTGGTTAACACAGATGTACAGATTGCGAAAGGTTGTGGGATTGAATCCTATCTGAGTGTACCAGGGACAAAGAAGATTTTAAAGAATTTTTCATTAAGAATAAACACAATACAAATTAATAAATAAAATTTAAAGTCCATTAATAAGTAAAAACAACGACAGAGCACCAAATAAGTAGGAAATAATAACTGATTTACTAAAGACTACTATTTAATTTGTAGTGAGACGATCTCGAGTTCGGTGGTGTGCTGTCACAGACGAGTCAGAGACCATAGACTTCCATGCAAAAATATGCAGTTTTAAGTATATTTAAAAAAAACATTAGTTCCCGAAATCAAACTAGATGTCGCTACGGTACGTACTTGATTTCTCCATGAAAACCTTTCCGGTTTTCTTTGAAGTTTAAAAGTAAATTAGTTTTTAAAAGTCAATAAATAACTCATATTCTATTTGTACTTTTTTGAATTTGTATTGATATCTTAGTTTCGAGCTTTTCAAATTTTAGTTTTTTAATATGTTAGTTAAAAGGAACGGAAATGACTGTCGTTAGTCCATTCGTTTTCTGCAAAAATCAACTTTTGCAAGAGTCACTATCTAGTGGAGGTGCTTTTTTATGCTTTAGTTTTTTTAATACTTCCTCATTATAAAATGAGATATCAACTTGCATTTCTGTAGTGCGTGCATGATTTGTTTTTTTTTTTGTTTAATAGAAATTGCTTTTCCATTTTGAAATGTGATTAACTCTATTAACAAGATTATTCGAAAACATTCAATACAAATCGTTATCCATTGAAGCAAATACTTGAAAATATTATAGTATTTGCCTCTATAGATATGTTTAGGCACTAAGTAAATGCTAGGTCGTGGGTATGAACAGTCATATTGATTAAGTTCAACGACACAAGGAAAAATAATCAAATGTCAAACATTTTAAAAGTCGAAATACTGCATTCTTGTTTTGCAATTTCATCTGAAACTAACACGATTTCCAGTAGTGTAACGTAAACAAACATAAAAATATGCAAAACATTAAAAAAATACTGTTGCGGAATACTGTATTTTATAGTTTTCAGCTAAAACTTATGGTCGTATTGATTTTTATATTATATTCTAAATTGTAGCATTTTAATATCATCGACTTTATGGTAAATCTTCGATCGTTACACTTTCTTATTTTAATTGATCGATAATAACAATTTACCTATTGATATAGGACAATGACTTAAGTTCATTTTTTTTCATTCATAGATAAATAAAAACATATTTTCAATTTTTTATCTTTGATTAATATTAAAATAAGTATTTTTGCAGTGTACGATAAATAATTTGAACTCAAATCGATAAATAACTTGAAAATTAATTTTCAAAACTCTTTAAACAACTTTTGTAATTTTGTATTGAAAAAACTGCCAGTTGCTACTCTTGTTTAATTTAAAGGGTTTAATACTCTAAGGCTTAGAAGTTTTTGTTTTAGTTATATTAATATCATAATTTTGTTATTGTCTCTTTACGTGTAATGAACACCAACGTGACATTTACGAAATTGTATAAACGCAAATAGGTTAACATCATATTATTTAACTAACTTGACGTTTTGGTTTTTTTTTGAGTGGTTTTGGTTTGGATATGCGGAAAAATAGTAGGTAATTAAATATTTTGTGATGATAAAAAATGCAAGTTATTATAGCTATTTGCAATAACTAAATGATTAACATATTTTCCTTAACAATATGTCACAGGTTTGTATTCATATTTTGTGATTATAACATAAGTAAACAAATCAACACTACTGTACATTTTACCTTATTATTTAATTTACGTAATGTATTGACATTATGTTAAATTATAATTGTTAAGTGTTTTGTGACTGCATCGTTCAATTAGTCTTAATATTATATTTAACATGAGCCTAAACTCAATTCCATATAATTTTATCCTATATGTGGTATTCATTTTACGTGTCACTTATTTAGAGAATGGGGCACAAAATATAGCGTGATGTGAATGCAAAAATGGACATGAGTGAACAGCAAGTCCTGGAAAATCGTCGTCTGAAGAATGGAACTATGAATTTATCAATGTCGTCTCAATCAACCACTCACTGGAAAGAATTTGTGTGTGGAGGAGGGGCAGCATTCTGTAACATCGTTATTAGTTATCCGCTGAATAAACTCATCTTCAGGCAGGTAAATTAAAAGAATAATTAAACTAATTACACTAAATTTCAATAGCAATTAAATTTTTGTTTTCTATGTTTCAGATGATGCATGGTGTTGAAGCTACATTTGCATTAAATCAACTACAAAAAGAGGGATTAGGTTACTTGTATCGTGGTATGTTACCTCCTTTATTACAAAGAACTTTATCAATGTCTCTAATGTTTGGAATTTATGATGAATGCCTAAGACCTCTTCTTGACCATAAAGTTAATCCATATGTAGCTAAAACTATAGCTGGTGTCGTTGCTGGCTGCTTTGAAGCAACACTCATGCCTTTTGAGAGGTTACAAACTTTACTTATACATCCAAAGTTTCATCAAGAATTCAAAAACACTGGTCATGCAGCAAGATATATTGCAAAGCATTATGGTATCAAGGAATTTTATAGAGGTCTCATCCCTATATTATTACGAAATGGTCCCTCTAATGCCATGTTTTTTATTATCAGAGATGAGGTCAAAGAAAGGCTACCCAAACAGCAATTGTTGTTTTATGCTAGTTTGCAAAACTTTATTGCAGGAGCATCAATTGGAGCTTTTTTGAGCACCTTATTTTACCCCCTTAATGTTATAAAGATAGCAATGCAATGTGAATTGGGTGGAGTCCATAGAACAATTTCATATGAATTTAAGTATGTTTTGTGGAAGAGAGGTTCAAATTTTGCTAATTTGTATCATGGTGCACTACTCAATATATCAAGAGCATTTCTAAGTTGGGGTATAATAAATGCATCCTATGAGATTTTTAGAAAAGCGTTATATCCTTAGTGTTGCCATTCTTATTTCTTAGTCCATTTTTGTTTCATTTCATGAAGCAACTTGTTATTTATTTATATGATAAAATGATGTGATCATGACAGGATGTGTGTATTATTAAAACAATAATTTAAAATATTATTTCAGCCCTGTGATTTCTATTCTTAATTAAAATGTAATAAACTGTTAGTTATTGTTTAAAAATATATTTATGGAAAATATATTATATCTTTTGTTTAGCAATACACTGTACAATATAATCATGGCTATGTAAATGTAAAATAATATATTTATGTATAGTCGGTTTAGAAATGATGTTGCTTATTAACTTTTACTGTAAAGATAAGAGATGGCTTTATACTGGCCGGCAAGTAACGGATGTAATGCAAAAAAATTCTTTGTATGAAATTTAACTCCCACATCTTAGCAGAATCAGGGCACAATCCCAGGGTAAGCTGGGCAATTGCCCAGGGAATTGTGACAGTTTTGTATAACCTAATGTGCTGTTGATTGTACATATTTTTAGATGTGACTGTACAAACATTTGTGTATTAGTGAATATTGATTATAGTGTCAATATGAATGAATTGTTTAGTAAACAATGAGAAAGTAATTAAAAAAGAAGCTACTAAAATAAATGCCGCATATACCATAGTCAATACTTTTTTTCAATTGGATGGTATCAAAATATGCCAGTCCGTGAATGTCATTCCTTTACATGTTACAAAATTTGGATATTAAAATCTTCCAAATAAAGAGAATGATTATGAAACTCAGTTTACTTTTATTACAACAGAAGTAAAACATGATGCATATTGTAAATAATTTCATTGAATGCTTTTGTAGCATTTAACATATGTAGCAACATGTAGTTTTCTTTTTAATACTTTCTCACTAATGAATAATAGATAATTATTCAAAAACATTAGTTCCAATTGATATCTATTTTATTATGCAATGTTCAAGCAAACATTAAAAAATTAATTGTTTAAATCAATAAATTGTCATGAAAATTATGAAATGGTTATTAAAATAGCAAATAATAAACAAATATAAAAATAAGTCTGTTTTATTTTTTTACAATTAATCTTACAAAAAGTACAGTTGGCGGTCTTATTGCTTTTAAACGCGATCTCTACCAGGCATCCATTTGTAGGAACCGTAAGGTTGAAGGTGTGGTCCCTACTGCGTGATGGAGATAACTGGCAATGGAGACTAAAGAATAATTGTCTACCTCCAATCTAGGTGTTGTTAGACCAGGGACCGCGGTCCAACCGATGTAGGTTGGACGTGCTTTTTATGCTAATTGGTAATAATAATACGTAGCGACATCTAATTCATCGCACTAACGCTATGAATCTAACGAAACATTTTCAAGTGGATAGGCGACTGGTTAATTTGATGTTTGAAATGGATCATATTTTTCAATCTTTAAACTTTCAATTGTCCAATCCCAAAATTTCGCTGCAAACGCATCGTCTTGACATTGCTTAGAAGTCTTTGCTACGGCGCAATCACTGTAATGAAAAAAAAGGCAAGTTATATTTTATAAAAGTTAAGTAAATTAACGATATAAAAAGAAATTATAGCCTTTGTCACCCGTGGGTAAAAGAATTTTTAAAGTCGATCCAGTAATTTCGTAGCTATTGGATGCAAACAAACAAAAAATTAAATCTTTCCTCTGTAATATTAGTATAAATTAAATTAAAGAGTGAATCGCTTTCCTACTTTTTCTAAGTTCTAAGTTAATCGCTCTGGAAAATTAGAGAATACGCAGACGTCAAAAGAAAAAAGGGACCTTTTACCCTTATAAATGTTTGGCGTGTCTATCTGCCGTCTATTTTACTATTAGCTTCGTAATTATTCTAATTCTTATAGACGTTAAACACAACTTACGCATAGTATAGTCCAGATTCCTTAGAACACGCTTCATCAACAGCGCAATAAATTGATGTCTGTGCACCACACTTGGGTGACTTCGCAAATAAAGGAGAAGCCTTGTTGAAGATCCAAGAAGCACCTCGCACCACTGAATCGCTGAAGTGCCTCCCGATGTCGGTGCCCACTACGCCCGGATGCAGGCTGTATGTAGTCACATTCGTTATGCCGCGTTTCTGTAAATTAAAATTTACAAAATGATCCGACCTATGTCTAATAGTAGCACATTATGTTATTATCTGTTTAAAAGATATGGAAATATGTGACAATAAAAATACAATAACACCCGCTCGAGACAATATAGTAAATTTCATAGACCGGCATTAAACCCGAACCTATACCACTCCGTATAGTCATATTTTTTTATATTGAGACTGGAATAATCAAGTCCTTATACATATTATGCGAAGGTTCACTCTAACACCATTATAAGACCATAGTTTTTTTTAGTCTCTCTATTTATAATGTATTTGATCTGGTAATGACATGTTTTTTATGAATGTCATTACTCTTATTAGAGCTGGTGAGATTTTTGCTCGTTCTTCTTATCAGCTAAAAGACGTTCTGAACAAGTGGTAGGGAAAAACATGTTGGACGATTCAAATGTACTTTTAAGAAGTCTATTTGGATAAAGATTATTTTGACTTGATTCGACTTGACTTGCTATATAAATTAATCCATCTCCCGTCCAGCCCATAAATCGCACTGGTACCTTCTACCTACAGATTCTTTATTTTACCTATTCTTGACTAAGTTGATGTTTTCTATTCTAATCATATAGTCGATATCTTCTCAACAAACTGGATAGCGCTATTCGCTTCATATATGGCCTTCGTAAATACGGTCACATCTCTGATTACAGGTAATATCTCGGTTGGTTGACTATTCCTCAGCGCAGAAACATGCGAGTTGTCTGTAATCTTTTCAATATTCTAGCTAGACTATCCATGTGCCTCAGGCTATCTTAAATCTAGATTTCAAGATCTTGGTTCCAGTCATCGTCGTGCTAGAACAATGAAGCAAAAGAGCATACTCATTTCCCAACTGCTTTTTATCACCCAAAAATTTCCAAATCCTTGAAACTTATTTAAGGGTGAAAACGTAGTGTGTATATTCTCTTTGCGAATGTGCGCAGGACCAGATTAGTCACGTAGCAAAAGAAACAGATGCTACCCCAAGCAGCAAAATTATCCTATAGTGCAGATGTTATAGGCCTTCAGCACTTATAACATTCTCTTAACGGTCATAGTATTTACTGTCACGCTTATAATAGGAAGCATGGAGTCGCTTGGTCCTTGTAGTATATCTGATCTTCTATATCAACTTATAACCACTTATAGATCAAAATTAAAGATGTATTATACGCTTAGGTGCCCTATAAAAGGATGCTGTGGGTGTAAATGTACTCGAGAATAGATTAACTAGTAAGCTATTCTTATAACTGCTAAAATAACTCATTATAACACTATTACAAGTAAAGTACGCCAATAAGAGTGCTAAACATACTGGAAACCATTTGCATTTATTACTTGGTTTTGTATAGGTTTATAAATCCACTTTACACAACAATTATAAGTAAAATGGATAAGTTTTATAATGGTATTACTTAATATTGTTATAATCACAACACTATTATAAAGGTTTTGATACAAGAATACAATGGTTTAATATGATCCTGCGAAAGTTGCTATAGTCTCAACAAAACTATTTTAATTCTGATAACTTTTTTTCCTTGCCGAAATGCTATTAACTTCTATTATCAAATGGATCTGTATAAATAGAAACGGTTAAAAAGAAGTGTTTCTTACAAACGAAAAGTTCCGAAAACCTATGAGCAAATAATTCAGGTGTCCGGTTTGAACTTTGTGTCTGGCGAAGAAAGTATCGTAGAAACAGGAAATAGTTCCGTACAAAACAATTCTTGTGATAGTTTGAGACAGAACGTTTATATTACAAACTCGGCACAAAATGACGCTTTATCGATAAAAAGCGATTTCAATTCAGACCTTGAATTATCAAGTGAGGAATCTGTATCAGAAGATGAAAGTGATATTTAACGCTATTCTAACTTTAATACTTAGAAAATGGGATGTAGACCCAAGAGCATTATATTGAAATACGTGGTAATATTATTGAACAAGCACAAGCTGCATTCGATCAACCAATAAAATCATTGTTTCTTAATATATCAATGCAATTTTAATTAAACTAACAACAATAAAAAGGAAAACGTCTTTAAAATTTCAAACATAAAATGTAAGCTTGTGAGTGTTGTGTACAGTTCAAATATATCAAATATACCGCTGTTGCACACATTGTGAGTTACCAGTATTATATAAATATTTGAAGAACATTATTTTATTTTTAATAATTCACTGATTGGTTGATTCCGTTAGTAGTTATAATTTCTTCTAAAATATTTACCAAACTTATTAATGGGTCAGAAGTTAAAAAAAATAAACAAAATATTGATACCTGCTTATGAATTATTATTCAAGGTAAATTAAAAAATTTCCCCCTTACATTAGATTCCTACCTTACTTTTACACAATAATTTATTCCCAAGGCCACCTTGAGGTTTTCAAAGCTCGAAAAACGCTTTTAGTCAAAAAGTGATCGACATCCAAAAACACTACCATGCTAAATAAAAAAATTGATACCTAAACAAAAAATTTATAAAATATGAAAAATATTCCGGTTATATTAATATTTGTTGAACCCTGATTCCAAAAAATATGGCCAAGCAACGGTTCTAATGTCTGCCCTTTTAAGACAAAGTACGCCTAAAATGGTTTGTTAATGTATTTGGAAAAACCATCTGACAAGATGGCGACTTTTCGTTGTATGATCTTACTGAAACCGACATTATTTCGAAATCTAACTTATTAAAAACACTACTACTGAGAGGCGAGTAAAAAATTTAATAGAAAACCTATTATACTTCACCGAAAATATACATGCGCCAGCCATTACTTATTGTTAAATAACACTTTACTTATAAATAATTTTTAAGATATTATTTATAGTTAGAAATGGATGAAAATTTACCATTATCAATATATATATGTACAACGAAATTTGCCAATTCAGAACATTTTGAATGAGCCTATAAGAGATTTTTTACTGTCGTATTTAGTTCCATTAAGTGCTGATAGTTAGCTTCGCAGGAGCAAATAGTTCTACGTAGACTAACTATAGGGTCGTTATTGAACAAAGTGGTGTTCACCAAGTCTGTTAAAGATATTGAATTAGAGCAAATACGCCTGTAAATTGGGCCCTTTTCCGTGGTTATAATTGCTTACTATTCCATTATAGTCCTGATAAAATTGTGGTTCCAGGACGATTACTAGACCACGTTTTGCTGCTTGGGACGGGCCCCGCGTAATTGGGAGCCTCGCTATAGTTCAGAGCCAATAAATTAATTTGTCAAGAAGAGTGTGTTTTAAAAAATGTACGAAATCAAAATAAGCCAGGCTTCTGACTAAACTCATCTTAATAAGTATAAAAATAAATATTGTTTAAAAAATTTGCTACAGGCGCCGCTTTGTCTTAATTCCGAGGGACTGAGGTTGGGTGAGCACTATCTCCTAATATATACTTAGGTAATTAAATAAATATGTTGTTATACATATATTAGTAGGTATGTTTAGACATTTATTTGTAGGTATGTACCTAGTTATTTATTATGTAGCTACTTAGTTGCTTTTATTCTTATCGAATTACAATCAATCTTTGACTTACTTTCGAGTTGACAGATAGAAAATTTCATAAACATTAAGTTCGCCGTTTGTGTTTTTATGCCATAATTAATAAATACCTAAATTTAAAGTTAATACCTAAAATTGGCTATTTTAGAAACTACTTAATAGTTTTCTGGCGTTAAATCATTCATAAGTTCTTAAAGACGTCCTGAACAAGGGTAGGGGAAAAATTTTTTTTTGGACGATTCAAATGTGTTTGTAATAGCCTACTTGAATAAAGATATTTTCATTTTCATTAAATTACTATTAATATTTTAAATCTGATTTCATGTTTGATAAAGTTCTAAATAAAGGTGCCTTGAAATATTATTTGAATGTAGGTATTAATAACATCCAAATAATATTTCAAGGTCAAGTGAGATTATACACATAAACTAAATTGGCCTCTTTGAAATAGTTTAGACATTTTTTTGTAAAGTCATTGAAACTAACATGAAATGTATACTAATATATAGACTAGACTATATCTACTTCTAAGTAAGACTATATCTACTTCTGCGTATTGTATTACGTTTATGTAGAGAAGAACTGCGTTGAAACTGAAGTCCTAAAAGTGTGTAATCATCAGTCGAGGATAGTAAAACGACAGCCATTTTACTAGCAAATAGCAAAACACAGTGTAAGTATTTGTAATAGGTAATATAATGTGGCAGACTTCGAATAAGCACAAAGTTTAAATATTAATAAAAATATTTTTTTCGCCTGTTTGGGTGGATTACCTGAACATTGATGAAAATACACGAAAAGTAACAAGTGCTTGAAAAATTCGCCACTCCTGTTAGGTCCTGGGTAGTTCAGTGGTAGAGCAGTCGCTTGGACTGCGAAAGGTCGTGGATTCGAATCCCATCTCAGAATACCAGGGACAAAGTGGATTTTTTAAGCATTTTTCATCTATCTATCCATACTATAATAAAAATGTAACTGATCGATGTCTGTACATTGAAGATATATTAAAAAACTGTTATGAGGGACATTTATAAGCGTAATAGAACACAAAACAATGATTTTTAATTTTTTGTCTGTTTGTCTGTGCGTTTGTGCACGATAATCTCTGAAACGGCTGAACCGATTTAAATGCTGTTATATTGCGGTATTCTTCCGTTAACATTTATTGTAAGATTTATATCAATCGATTCACAAATAAAAAAGTTATGTCAATTTGAAATGACGTGTTCGGCAAAATTGCTATGAAATATTAACTGTTTTATTAAATTTTCGTCTTTGATATATTGATCATCATCATTAACTCTTTCCCAGTCAAACTGATAAAAAGAATAGAAAAAAAAAGATAGAAAAATAACATTTGTAAGGACCAATATGTTCACGGGATGGGTGACCAAAACATTATTATCTTGAGCACTGTGCACAACACTGGCACAATGCATGTTAAGCCGTTAGTCCTGGCTGCATCAGCAACGTTAACACCCACCGATCGGCATTAAGCCCGCATGGTGGGTGGGCCATTGATCTTACTCGATTCGACTCCATTCATACGAAAAAAGGATTCTCCCAAAATTCTTCCCACTCAGACGAAGTCGCGGGCACAGTTAGTTAAGAATACATTTTTATATGTTGAACTAAACCTACGAATATCACATCTATTTTTTTTTCATAAACGCTCTCCCATTAGGTAAATATCGTTTTGACGTAAATATGAAATATTTGAATTTTGTTTGCCTTCTTAAAATTGAATTTGGATATTATAATTTTCGTTAAATTCGAAGTAAAGTTTTAAAAATGTTACGAACCCTAAGTTCGTTGGCAAGTGCTCTTGCGAATAAAACGTTGGCAGCTTTGCTTCTACAGTAAGCTTGGTAAGCATCGTACGGCGACTTTTCAAAGTTCATGTCTTCTAGATCAAGCTGCGGTGCCCCTGAAATTAAAGGGAAAATGTTTGTCATAAATATAACTACGCTCACTACTAGCGAATACGTTAACGTAAAACTTAAAGTATCTTACTCTTTGATTTTACCGGTAATATTTATTTCAATGTAATGTTAAGCATTCAAAGATGCAGAAAATATACAATATTGCACCAAAAAAAATTAATTCTGTAAAAAACGGTCGGATAAGTTTGCTAATCGGTTTGGCCTTCATGGGGTCAAAGTCAAAATTATCTTTATTCAAATTGGTACTTAGTCATGCTCTAAAATAAGTCTATGTTTCTACCTCTAATTTAGAATATCTTTTAGCGGTTGAAACTTGATAATAATGGATGACCATACCTATTAATACCTAATTTGTTTACGCGACCGTAATACCTACGCAGGTTCAAATTTTTGTCTGTGACACAAAGAAATGTACTTCTCGCTACACTTATACTCCACACTGGTTCCGTTTGATCATTTCTCTGTTTGCTATTGGAAAGGCTGGTGCAGTCAACTGCACTTCAGACTATAATAAAATATCAAACTTCTCCACTCGATTTAAACTTTAACAAATTAAAGGCAGAGATCAAAATCTATTGCAGAAATCTGGCATATTGTAGTAACTTGATCTGACGTGCAGCCAGCCGTGTGTACCTCAGACCACTATAAAAATCTGACTCCCGAACTCCAGAAACATTTATTAACTGCGAAATGTCACTTTTCTCGGATCCTGTGGTCGCAGAACGAGAAAAAAAGGTGCGACCATACAATTTCTGTCCCAGTCTCGACTGGTTTCTCGTCCCAACTAACATTACAGCTGTAAATAGAGCTTACTTTAGAACCTAAAGTGTTATAAAAGTTGATTAGTAGCTGTAATTATAGGTTGTGGTGACAAATGAGAGTAAGTAATTCAATGTAACGCTTATAGTGCAAGTCTATAAGAGCAATGTATGGAGGCTAAAGGCGACTACAGCGAGTATTATCCCTACAGTGCAGACCAAAGCTTCTGTGTTATAGCTTTGAGCGATTCTTACCACTATAAGATCTATATAAGAAATTATAATTTAATATTCTCCTCAAGTTCTACGCCAGCTATTATAAACTCATTTGTAGCGCTGATAGTTGCGGAAAGGGAGCAATTAACGCTACTAGCTCTATAAGTGTGTTTCTTAATTCTTTTATAAAACCAAATTCCTAATGGGATACATAGCTCCTGTGTACAACTTAGGGACGTATATTAGAGGTATTTCCCCCTATAAATAGATCCCATAGTGTCAACTATAGTTTCTATATTACCTTAAGTTGCATTTTTGAGTTTATTACCACTTTAATACCTCTGTTGGGTCACGTGTTCGCTTATGTGAATCGATAAAATGGCGTCGTAACCTAGCTTGAATAAAAATTACTTTAAAATTTGAAAAACTTATGACAATGAAGTTATTCCTCTTTCTAGCGTTTTGATAACAGGTTCATGACATTTTTAAATCAATAGGCAAAGTTTTAAAACACTTTTATTAAATTTTTATTAAAAAAATTTTTTGCTTGACTTGAAGTGAAACTTTTTTTTACATAATATAATTAAGGGGCTCACTCTTATACTTAACTAAGAGTGAGCCCCTTAATTATTTGCTTATAATATATAACCACATTCATAGTAAAGTTTCGCAATGAAAATTCCGCTTCAGTTTTCCATTAACCATTTAACCCGGCTATTTTTTTTCGTAAAGACCATTAGTGTGGAGATTGGGTGCAGTAATAGTTTAACGTTAAGGCAAAACGTAATGTTAAGCTTTCTAGAAAAAAAATAAAAGACTACGTCTTTAAGCGTTAAAATTTCCTATTGTAGATCTGTACTGCGCTTCAAGGTGTTACAATTTACCTTATTGCCACCCTATAACATCTAGTAAGATGCATCTTAGATCTACTATATATCTTACGGAGTTAATATTCATATATTTGCTTCCTTAGTAGCACTCAAAGGTCTGATGGTAGCCTGTAGCTCTATTATAACACTTGAGCAGTCACTAGACACTAAAATACTTCTTTTACAATGCTTTAGTACTCAGTTAGCGGTTATGTACCTCTTAAATGCATTCTGTAACTCTACTATATCGCCATAGTGGAACCTATGGTCATAAGAATTTATGCCCAATCCAGGGGTAAAGTAGAGTTATAGCTCCCTATAACTCCATGTGATAGGACTAATTAAACACCACAGGATCTGTTTAGCTCTTTTATAGATCTGTTGTAACTCTTATGTTAGCGCCTAATGTTACTTGGGGTGTCCTTCAATTTCGATATAGATGATTATGTGTACATGTGCTGTAGAGGATATTTAAAAAATGGTGATAAAATATACAAGATCCACCTCTTTTCATTGGAATATGAGCCATGAAGAATGTATGATCTGTTATTTAGTGATACAAAATGTGAAACCGCAGTTACTATGATTAGTGTGTTATCTATAAACTACCTATGCTGTTGTTGTTAGTGTTCAAAAAACTAAGAAGCAGTGAAATCTGATATTGATTATTAAACATACATTTATGTAAAAGAGATGACACGAAGACAATCCTTGAATCGCCGCTACTGTTCATTTTCGGCAGTAACAGAACCGTGAGGAGCGCGTGCCCCAAATGATTCGTGCCTATGTGAGTTTCAAATCCATCTTCCGTCTTTCCTTCGACGCACATCATAACGCCGGCGTTATTTACTAATATGTCTATACTTTTCTCCCTCAATAATATTCGCTTGGCAAATTCTCTAACAGAATTCAGACTAGCCACATCTAACTTTTCAACCACGAGCTCGCCTCTGCCGGAATCGGTGATCGTTTTTTCGATATCTTTTTTTGCTGCGTTGCCTTTCTCTATGTCTCTGCATGCTATGCTTACTCTGGCGCCTGAAATAAGTATTCTCATTATTGCCTTTCATCTATTTTGTATTCACAATGCTATATTAATACTTCAGCTAACTCCTCTAGCTATAGCTCTAGCCATAGGATACGATATCTGAGCGATGGTAAAGCGCTATTTCGTTTCATTTACGACTTTGACTTTTCACGATGAAATAATGATAAAGAATAATGAATATGGATTTCACAGCAACTTTTCCAACTTAGTCATTTATCCAAAATTCACCAAAAGATATGTCAAAATAGTAAAATACGATATTTCGTCATAATATTTAATTTTGTGTAAAATGTCGTATCCTATACATATAATAATAATACCAGGAGTTAAAGTATGAAATTGCCGTTTTGTGCTGAAAATCAAAATTGTTTATTTTTTAATTTTTAACAAATTTATTTAATTAAAATGGTTACCATTATTATCTATACATTGCTGCCATCTAATAGAAAGGGCATTTATGCCCTTGCGATAGAACTCTAGGATGAGGATAGGAGGATCTACACTGCACAAAATGTGTGAAAGCATTTTGTACTGCCTCCTGAGAAGAAAACTTCTTGTCACGTAGATAATTGCCCTAATCACGAAAAAAATGGTAGTCCGTTGGAGCAAGGTCTGGCGAATACGAATGGTTTCTAACTAATGTGAAGATCCATTCATGAGTCGGGGTTGTTTTACTGCTAGTTTTGCCAACATTGTTCGAAATACACATCTGGGTTATTGCTTGACCAGATTGGAGAAAACTATAGACCCAGTGGCGTAACTATACCGTTTGAGGCCCATGGCAAAATCATCTAACATCCTATTTCTTTTACTTATCGTCTAATAATAAATGTCAGGAGTAAGGAATCTCCTTTTACCGGGGGCCCCTTCCAGCTGGGGACCCGTGGCATTTTGCCGACTTACCACCCTGTAGTTACGCCACTGTTGAGACTAAACAATTACCATTACCTTTTCATTGGTAAGTTTTGCCTTAGGACACCGTTGTGACGTTTGACCTGGGGTCAGCTATTGCATTTTTCTTTTACGGTTATCATAAAGAATTCACTTTTCATCACATGTCACAATTCGATTCAATATTTATTCATTTCTATACCAATTGAACTAGGCAACACAAGTTTCAACATGCGTTTCTTTCAGATCAGTCAAATCATGAGGCACCCTATTTTCGTATTTTTTTTTTATTTTATTGATTTGACGCAAATGAGTCAATAATGTGGGTAAGGTAACGTTAAACCATGCCGTTAATTCGTGGGTAGTTTGACTAGGATCGGCTTCTACCATCGCACCAAAATCGCACGGTGCGTTCATTAGCTGACCTGTTTCTGCCGCGTTACTTCCGCGTCGGAACTCGTATTTAATAATCACTCGAATTTTCGCCGTATCCATCTTCTTGCCTAAGTTGAATAACAAAAACAATTGAAAGTCGATATTCTAATGTTTCACATTTTTTATAAGAACATCAAAGAAACCATGTGAATAAAGTTTCTTTTGAAAACCTTAAACCATAAAGATTTTATGTCAATTCAAGAGACCTGCAATAAAACGACAATTTCATACTTTAACCCCTAATAATATTTAATTTTCTTCCATGAATGTTCTTAAAAATTACGGTAACAAGTGCCAAAGTAAACAATCATGTGGAAGATTGGAACCAGAAACTAAAGCTTGCTGTTGTCAAGTTATCAGGCTTCTCCTCCGATATAATACCTACAATATAGGTATGCCTACAACGCTGTGATATTGTTCAATTCCATAGTTCTAAATAAAAAATAAATGTATTTATAATTTTTGTTGAACTTATTTTAATGGGGCAAGAGGTAAACACAGCAAATGACCTAAAATCGAATTCTTAGTGATTGGATACGCAAACACAGGAACTGCGCTGTAATATTTTAACTCACGGTTAATAAAAACACGAATAAGGAAACCTTGAATCAGAAACTTTCACTGTTTATTGGTACTTATATTTTTACATACCTCGATTGAAGAAGTCTGATGCAGTTTCTTTGCCAATACCGGTATTGGAACCGGTGACAATAGCGACGGACCCGTCAAGACGACGTTCGCTTTTACACCAACCGCTTATACAATCCATGACCGGTAAAAATTAGAACACTGAGAAAAACAAAACAGTAATTTATAAGGGTGATTTTTTTTAGTTAATCTTGTTATTACTCGTATAAAAGCACGGATACATAAATGAATAAAATTATTATCTAAGTATATATAACTCAAAGGTGACTGACTGACAGTGATCTATCAACGCACAGCCCAAACCACTGCACGGATCCATCTGAAATTTGGCTAAAATAGGGGATGAAACTTTATTTCAGGTATTTTTAAGATATAATTAATAAATATTTGTAAGAAATATAGCTCAAAGTAACTTTACCACGCGGCCGAAGTCGCGGGAAAAAGCTAGTTATAAATAAATCAGTTAGGGTCCCGCGTTTGAAATATGTTTATATTTTGGGTAACTAGTTAAAAAGATTAAGAACCACTGGTCCAAGTCTTAATTCAACGGCCTTTTGTCGTGGTTTAACCCCATTTGGGGTGAAGGGTGGCTGGTATATGCTCAAGTGTGCAGTGTTGAGCAGAATATATCTACCATCAAGTGACAGGTGTATGTCCACGTCATTCACCTCGGTAATACTTGGAACCATTAACAGGCACCGCACAACACCATCTACCCTGGGCTCCAATTAGCGAAATCAGCTGTCGCTACCTTTCCAGTGCACTCCAACACGGAAAGGGAATCCCTTTACCTATGTATCCCATGATCCTCTCCTGATAAACATTTCCTACCCTGATCCTCCTCTCCTTACAAAACTCCTTAGGCTGCTCGACAAAAGCCTCGGTTCTATCGGTGGGTGGGGGGCCAGCCGATAGACTAACTAGCCCCTTCTGCGCTAAGTTAGTTGATGGCCGTAAGGGGGGGATGAAGGAGTCCTGAGGGGTTGAGTGATGCGAGGTCGGCGGTAGTACCTTTGCAACGCAACACGCCCTCTTTGGTCCGGATTTCAACCGAAACGGTAGCCCCTCTGGGTAGCGCCAGAGGGGAAACAGTCAAGCGTCCCATCAAAGGGCCGCTGCAAGATGTGGGGTCTGGTGCAGTTTTCTGGGTTGGATAGTTAGGGTCATGCTGACGAGGTGAGGATGAGTGTAACAACTGGGGGACTCTGAACTGATAACCCAGCCACTCATTTCGAGCTTCCGATGTCGCACCCGAATACTAACTTCCTACATCTATATCCAGTGCGTAGTCCTAGTGTACCTTTTTAATAGGACACTCCCAGATGTGCGGGCTCCTTGGAGGGTGGGAAGCGGACTGGACGAATTACACACCATACCTAACATGGACACCAACAGGTTCAAAACACCGTCACAAACAGACACCAATGCACCCTCTCGTGAATTGGTCTTAATGGCGTCTTCAGGAGAGCACAACACGCCTGAAGGGAAACCGGAAGGCTCACAACAAGGGGACAAGCACACTCCTGGAGCCAGGTTGGACGCAAGTGGGCAAAAAGGATGGAAAGCGGCAGAGAAAACTGTCCACCACTACCCAGGTTAATCTACAAGTGTCCAAACGAAAAAAGAAGCAGAAGGCCCAGATGCAAAGGAAGACGCAGCGCAGGAGGGAATCCCGAATGTCAGCCTCTTCTAGCAACCAAATTGCCCCGAACACCGGCACGGTGGAGGGAACGCAAGGGAAGCGAAAGGTGGGAAACACGGTAACCTGCCACTGCCCAAGCAAGCCTTAACTATGCCCACTACCAGTCGGGACAAGGCACTGAGAACGTATGGGGGAGCGAAAGGCAACTTGTTGCTTGAGCAAATCCAACGGGACCGGAGCCAAGTCACGAGAGGGACCGCCCACTGCAAAAGGGGAAAGGGAAGGGGAAGGGAAAGGCAAAGTTCAGCGCCAAGAGGGCCCACTCGAGAGACTGTGTCTCCGAGGGGAGAGCCCAAAAGGCAAAAGACGGAGCCGTCAACCGGACCTAGCTCTAACTCCATCTCCAAGCGTACCTACGCACCGCAACATCGGCAACTGTGACCGCCACCACGTCGGAAACTCGATTCGCTGTGACTTTGAGCGAGGGATACATCTCTCGTGAGATGGCCGGACTAGTCGAAGAGAAGATCAAGGAGGGGATCATGCAAATTGCCAGTGAAACTGCGTTCCGCGAGTGTTCCAAGGTCGCCCTGGTGTTAAGCAGGAAACCGCTTTACGCTGACGGGTGTCTAAGGTACACATGTGGCAACGCGCAAACCCTGGAGTCGGTGCGACAGCAGGTACAGAGTGTATAGAGCCCAGATGGAGGAAATCTTGTTGTCCTTAGGGCGGAAGAGATCCCGAAACGGGTAAGGTACGGCTTCGTTCTGCCAAAACTCTGGAAGAAAGATCGGATTATGCTAGGCAAATGCCTGGCGATCGGAAATCCAGACCTGAACATCGAAATATTGCTCAACGGTGTTCACCTCACAGTCAAAATTTGAAGCAACCTTATTCGTCCTCCTATCGATACCTGAGGAGAACGTATCCGCGATCCTGGCTAAGGGGCGCAGACTCTGTTTCATGACAGGGTACGTGTACCTGAAGTTCAGGGACGCGAGAGGGAAGTACGTCGACACTCCGCCGACGAACAACCCCAGTGCGACTTCCTCGGTATCGGTACCGGAACCACGTCAGGCCACCTCTTCTGCGCAGACACCCACACAGGCACGCACGCCCGACGTCAGCTTACCACACGCCACCGCCACGTCCTCGTCGATTCCAGATGACGCCATCTCCAGCCCCTCGCACGAGGCCTCATCGCCTCTGAGTGAGGGATGCCTCCTGGGGCTGAGCGAGGTGGAGATCGAGGACGTCAATTGCGAGGATTGCGAGATGGCGTCCCACTGCAGTAGTGCGAAAGTACTGCAAGCAAACCTCCAACACAGCACCACCGCAACGGCTCAGCTTCGAAGATGGTTGAAGGTAAATACAACTGAGCTCGCACTGGTTCAGGAGCAGTGAGTCTGTGAGGTAAGCTCATTCAAGCTACTGCTAATAACGTAAGATCCTGTATATCTACCAAAGACATTAGAACACAACCTTTAACGAATTTCTGTTCCAGAGATCTCTGCGCCACAAGCATGACAATGAAACATGATAATTATAACTGCTATATGATCGTAGAGTCTGCTTACATGCACGAAAAGGAGCGAGTCCCACCAGAGGAGGTCGCCTCACTGGTCTGCTTCCGCGCAGGAAAATGTGGAACTGATCATCGCAACGGATTCAAACGCTCATCACCCCCTGTGGGAAATGGAGAAGAGCAACATCGGAGGTAACCAACTTGTTGAATTCCTTCTGACCACTAACTTATTGATAATAAACAGAGAAAACGAACAGCTACAGAAAATAAGAAGCAAAGTGAGGAAAAAATTTAACCAAGCCATTAACACCCGGAGTGAATTAGACTGGGACAACTACAAAGCCATTAAAGCTAAGTACAAAAAACGTATTAGATACTGGAAAACAGCCTCTTGGCGTAGCTTCACCGAATAGATAAATTCCACAACACAGGCAAATAGGGTAAGGAAAATTTTGGCGAATCAAGGTCCCGGCACGTTGGGAACTCTCCGAAGACCTGACGGCACGATGTCCCAAAGCCAGGATGAATCCAATCATATCCTACTACAGACCCATTTCCCAAACTGTCAATCAATCGAACAGGCAGTATGGTATGATGTCACGCCAACACCGACGGAAAGATGCTGGCGCCTTCTTGCAGAAATCGTAACTTCTGAAAAGGTGAGATGGACCATCAACAGCTTCTCTCCCTTTAAGGCAGCAGGAAGCGACGGCATCTTCCCAGCACTACTACAATGGGGAGGCGAGACCATTGTTACAGCACTCACCTGTATACTACAAGCGTGTCTTGATCACCGATACACGCCACACAGATGGAGAGAAGTAAAAGTAGTATTTATACCCAAACCGGGAAAAACCGACTATACTAACCCCAAATCTTTCCGACCCATCAGTCTAACATCTGTATAATCCTACACAAAACTCTGGAAAGACTATATGACAGATATGTACGAAGTGGTGCACTGAGCATTTCTCCGATACGTAAACATCAACACGCTTACTTAGCAGGTAAATCTACAGAATCGGCCCTCCATCAACTAGTCGGTAGGATAGAAATGGCCCTTCACAACAAACTCATCTGGTGAAACCTGGTGGTCAACGAATTGATCACACTCCTGAATGCAAACCATTTCTATACCATAGAGTATGCCGATGATATTACAATATTAACTCTAGGCACCCACGCTGGTATAACCTGCATCACAATTCAAACCGCCCTGAAGAGAGTCGAACGTTGGTGTGAAAAGTATGACCTGACCGTGAATCCTGCAAAAACGGAACTGGTAATGTTTACAACCAAACACAATGTTGGCACGTTTCACCTACCGAAACTATTTGGTACAACACTACAACTGTCCAAGGAGGTAAAGTATCTAGGCATAACCCTTGCTTGACATTATCTTGGTACCCTCAAATAGTAAATTGTAAATATATAAAAAAAAGAAAATTGTGCTAATATCTTCTAGAATCAGGAAGTTTATTTGGATGTTTAAGTCTCTTAGATATATAGTACCAAAGAATGACTCAGAAGACAAAAACTTTTCAAACAACCTTTTAAACAAAATGTACATTGCATTAGTACAATCGATCATAAGATACTGCTTACCTGTATGCGGTGGTACGTATAAAACACGCTTCCTCGAGATTGAAAGAGCCCAGAGATCATTGCTAAAGTTCATGTGTTTCAAGAGCCGGCGTTTTTCTACTGAAAGCCTTTATCGAATAACTAACCTACTGTCAATTCGGAAATTATATATTGTTAATCTAATACCAAAGCAACATAAAACTCTAACCTATGACCCTAAATTAGCAATTAAAAGAAGAAAAACCACAGTCTTGCAAACCCTTAAAACAAGAACAGCTTTTGCTAGATTCCAATACAACAGTTAATCAGCTTATCTTTATAATAAAATAAATAAAGAACTACAAATATACTCAAAAACTTATAATGAATGTAAACATACATTAAATAAATGGATAAGACTAAAGATATTTTCGCGCACACTCAAGCAAATGTCTTGTAAGCGTTTACCAAAAAAGCTCATTTTATTCGGATGTGATATTTTTCAATTCGGTGCTCATGCTATAAATAAACATGAAATAAACACTGCCCGAAGCCTCGTCGACCTTGAACGTAAAGCACGAGCAGGTAATGATGTTGGCTGAATCGATATACTTACGTATTTTACATAAATATAGCAGAACCAGGACTATTTATCGATTACGATGACCCATGAATATTGGTTGGACACAAATTTAGAGAAACGATATTGTTTTCTTACAGAAAAATGCTGGAAAGA